TACAGAGACTTTGGCTTCTCCACTCTGTCTAGTGTTTCCTCAAAGAAGCAGAGACTGTGCCTGAAAACTAAAATGCTTTCTTAATACCATCAGCTCTGCTTTTGCACTGAGCAACAAGTAAATGTATATTTTCTTCCTGAGACTGTTCTGCTTGTGTCTTTCAATGAGGCCAGCACATGCACACACAAAGATTAATTAAAATTTATACTGGCAAATTATAGTTTGGCATTCAAGGACATCCATCCCTCACCTAGAAATATGTGCACATTCATTTGTCAGGTTGGGGGTAACCATCCTGCATTCCTGAGTCATTTGCTTGCCAACAGATTCCTGTAAGATGAGCTACATGGGGATCCAGTTCCCAGTGATTGACCTGCTGCTCTTAGGCTGAGAGACTGAAATGAACTCAGCTCTTAGAGTCTCAACTCCATATTTGCTTTTATGTCCCTCCACCAGTTTTCACAGACAACACAGATGAAAACAAATTTTCTACTTGTGAGAAGCAACATCTGAGGTGTTCTTTCTCTTATGACTGTCTTCATGCCTTATCTACTCTAGGTATGCAGGCTTTTCATCTTCAGGGATGCGTATCCCAACTTGAAATAAAGTTAAGATTATTATTCCATCAAAAGTACCTATAAAAGCATTCTATTTTGCTTGTGACTTTCATTCTTTGTAAGTATGAAAGGGTCAAACAAATTAAAATATTTGATCTTTGCAGCATTTCAAGGTTCCATCATCAAGTATTTATGGAGCCCTTTCTTTGTTCAAGTGCTGAAAAAATAATACTCAACAACTTTAAGTACAACCTTGTTTTTCTGTCTTGGAGCTTTGAGGGTCTGTTCTATGTGTAAAGCTGAATGACCAAAGAAAATGGCATGAAAGAATGGAATCCTTTCTGGTAAAAAAGAAGAGATCAGAAAGGGTAAGATTAGGAGGAGGCTAACAAGACTTTGGAAGCTACACTGAGGTTCTGAATTAACCTTTTTCTGAAGAACAATAGGAAATTGAGGGGTTTAAGGCAGTGGAAATAACTGTTTGATACCAGTTTACTGCAAAACAAATGATTTCAGACTTGGAGATTTAGACACTATATTTTATGTCTTACATTTTTGGTGAGAAATCTGGGCACAGCACATAGCTGATTTCCTAGATTTGGGCGTCTGACAACCCTGCATGCACTTGGATTGATGGATTGTTCTCTTCCTAGGTCATTCCTATGATTACACCTACGAGTCAGATCCTCACAAGGTGTTAGATAAATTGAGATTCTTCCAGAGCCATTGGATGGTTGTTTATCTTGATTGATTGTCAACTCGATGAGACTTAGAATCACCTAGAAAACAAACTTTTGGTTGTATCTGTGAGGACAATTTTAGAATTTTAGAAAGCATTTAAAAAAAAAGTGTGTGAAGACCTACCCTGAATGGAGGTGGTACCCACCATGGTCCAGGGACTTAAACTAAATACAAAGATGAATGGAGAGTAGAACAACATCCTTCATCTTTCTATGTCCAATTGATAGAAACACCTTTTTCCCCATTATTACTGCTTTCCTTTTACAAAAGGAAAATAACAAGACCTTTTACAAGGCCAACAAACATGGCACAGATTAAGCTTAAATCTGTTTGATAAAGAAACATGTTAACATGGCATGTTTTCATCCAGTTTCTTTATTCAAATGGTCTCAGGGCCAAAGTATTGTTCTTCATGTTTTCTTTCCACCCCTGTGTTCCTACTCTACCCCCTGTTCCAGACTCATCTCCTCCTGAGGGTCTTCCTCCATTCATTAGTTTGGCTTCTGTTTTATTGTACAGTGTAATTATGAGTTTCTGTGTGCTTTTAGATGAATTAATGTATCTACAAATAAATAATTTCCTCTATGTCTTTACCTATTTCCTGGGACAATGCTGAAAGATAAATAGCCTTTATAAGCCAGAGAAGAGCATGCCTTGAAGAGACCTTAAAGAGAGTTTCACTTTTTAGTTTTAATAGAATCCTGCCATTACACTTGGGTGGAAGTATATTCCTTCAGAAACCTTCAGACACACTTCCTGTAATCTTCCCCAACCAGTGCCTTTACTCAGATGCATATTTTACAGTGCATATCTGCTACAAGAATATTAGCTCTTGGTTTTCAGCTTAGAAAGACTGACTTTTACCTTTAGTTTCTTAATTCAAATGCTATAGTCATGCCCTATGAAAGGAGTGTGATGTCAAAGCATTTAGACAAGCAGTAGGCTCAACAAAAGAGTGATGATGGGGAGGCATTAATTTTAATTTTACACAGGTGTGGAGAAAGCACAGTTGGGGAGACCAACCAGAGAGAGAGAGTGTTAGGGTCAACAATACACAGACACTGAAGTGCTGAAGATGACCTCTCAACACTGGGTGGGGGTGGAGGTGTCTATGAGCCTGGTTTCATTGTGCTCAGATTCTGTGGTAGCCTTGGAGTCAGGAAGAAGTTGAGCAGGGAACTCTGCTCAGGGGACAAGAAGTCTCAGATGGAGACTTACCACTGGAGAACCAAAAGCCTATGCTGGGCTTCAAAGAATCTCTTAGAAACTCATAGTTACTGGGCATTGAATTCTTGCTTAGTAAATAGTGCTGTGAACATAGAGGGGTATTGGGGGAAAGGAAATTAAATAAATGTTTGGCTCCTCTAACACATTTGAGCAAAGGTTTTCTGATTGAAATAGGGAACTGAAAACCAACACCCATGTTCAGTGTATGAATCATCCAGAGATCATAAGTCCCACGTGTGATGAATCTCCAGCTTCCTCTGGTATAGTTTTCTGAGTTTCTTAGATCCAAAGAGAAAGAAATTAGTCAAAAAAAGGAAGTAGGAGTCTAACTTTCTCCTTACTCCTTCAGTCACATTTTTGGGGGGAAAGAGAAAAGGGAGCCTAGTAAAAGGGCACCATGGAGAATTGGCTTCTCTGTTCAGTCAGGGAGGGCACAGAATCCTTCATAGAGGCTACCAGGGCCTAGAGTCAACAGGCACTTCCCAGCAAGTATGTCCACCACTTTCAGCCTGAGACTGAAAGTGTCAGACTGTGTGAGGCACAGTACTTAAAAGCCTGAGACTATTGCTTTCTTTTGTTTCCATTATAGCAAGGACCCTCACGTTTAAACAGGCATGTTCTAGTTGGGTTGGATGTGTTTTGTATTTAAGGCCCATAGGTCTCAATAACTTAGGGGTTGAGTATTGTGATAAAAGAGTAAAAGTTGCATGATAGTGGCTGAAAGCTAAATCCTATGGTTTACACAGATTGCTGCGCTGGGGGGGGGGGCGCATCTAGACATCTAAAGGAACATAACACTTACTCTAAATCAGAGTTCTCAAAATGATTTTATGTTTTTAAGTCTATTTTCCAAAAACACACTCTAGATATTGGGGACTTTGCTTGACTTTTGTTAGCTGAGCTGAACCTAGGAACACATCTTTTTATGCAGTATCATTGTAGTTCTAGAAACACTATAATGTGGGAAATTACCAATATGGAGTCAGGTAAAAATACCAGGGAATTTAATAGGGAAAAGCCTTATTTACAGAGCGACCTAGCCAGCGGGTGGGGCAGCCATCAGTACAGCAAGCCAAAGATGAAAGCAAAAGCAGGCTGCCATGTGAGCGTCCCTCACTCTTAAACCTTCCCTACGTCACACTGACCACGCCCTCACAGGCGTGGTCAGGCACACCTACCTATAGCCAGCCCCTAAGCAGGCGTGGCTACAGCATCCCCTACACATGTACAGTTTCCCTCTACCATTCTGGAGATCCTCTTCTGTGGTAAAATGTCAACTTGGGTGTATCCCCAGAGTGATCCCTGCTCCTCTCTAAAGTAACAGCAAGAATCTATGGTCTTTTCTCTGGTAATGCATTTATATTCATTGGATTATGAAAAATTTTTTCAAGGGTATACACTGTGTTATCTTCCTCTGAATCGGAAGCATTTTTATTGTGTGTGTGTGTTTGGTTGGGTGTGTGTGCATTGAGGTTTGTGGGTGTATTGGTGAATGCGTGTGTACAGGTGCATTGCATATGTGTGTACATGCATGTAGGAGATCTCATGTCTTGCTGAGACCTGGAATAAGAGTTGAGCTGCCATGCCCAACTGGCTGGCATTCATATGGGTCCTAGTAATCTGAATTCCCATCCTCAAGTTTACATAACAATTGCTTTAATCACTGAGCCATCTTCCCAGCCCCATCAAATTCACCCAAAGGCTCAGGAAGCATTGCAAAAGAGGAGGCAGACAAATGCAAGAGCCAGAAATAGTGGACATCTTCAGCGAAACAGTATTTTCAGGATATAACAGGGCTATTGCAATATGAATTCACAATAGCTGGGGAATACATGTGCAAGACCTATATAGTAGCAAGCCAACCATAATCCCAGAATAGATGGGGAAGGGCTTCATGAAGGTGCACCCTCACCTGAGATGCTGTTGGTAATTGATGGGTGCTGAGAAAAGGGTGGTAAGCTTTGTTCAGAGATATGAACCCCAAAAAAGCTACATATGCTCTAGTAGGTGATCCTACACCCATTTCACATATAGGCAACACTGAGTGGCATTAAACACCTTTTGAAGATGTATGTCATCATTCCAAGGGTCCAGCTGGGAAAAAGAAAAAACCTTTCCCTGAGGGCTCATAGAGACATCCATGTTTCCATGTTTAAGTTTAAAATCAATAGCGTGACTGGTCCAGCTGCTGACTGAATTCATATAGAAAGCTGCCATGGTTACTGGGAATTTGAAGGAAGAGGACAAGGAGAAGGGGCCACTTTCTGTTTATCTTTTAGCTCTTCTTGGCTTTGGAACTTCTGCTTTGTGTTTCTGACACAAAGCCTAAAGGTCATTTTCCTCTACGTGTTGTTGGCTGTATTCTGCATTATCATTGGTGTTTCCTTAAAATTAATAAGAGCCATGAGCAGTAATGTATTATTCATCCTGAGTGTACAAACCATGCATTTATCTAGGGTTTCTTTCTTTTGCAAGAGCTTGCACTCGACAGCGCATGCTGAGCGGATCATTCGAGGGGCAGCCAGCAAAGGAGAGGTCAATCCTTAGTGTGCAGCATCACATCCGCCAGGAGCGCAGGTAAATACTCCAGGAAGATGAACTCCAGAGGCACCCAGGAAAGGACTTTACATGTGTGTTTCAGTACAAAGCCCAGGTCTCTACCCTAGTTGGCAGGCAGGCATGGTTAGGACCCGTTTCTAGCTGCTGGTGGTAACAATAAAGAAATTCCCTATCTGATTCAAAGATTTAAAAATCTTCACTTCAAAGATTCTTCCTTGGTGATAGCCAACGTCTCTCTTTTAAGATCAGAAAGAACAAAAATCTGAAAACTTGTTAAATGGGATCAAAGACAGGTGGGTAGAACACAAGCTTATGTTTTACAAAGAAATGGGTCATTTCTGATATATCAGGAAAATTAATCTTTTACTCATGATTATTGACTACAAGTCAAAAGTTGGTCTTGAGATGTTTTGACAAGATGACTGTGGTTGTTCTAGGTCACTAAGACATGGATCCAACAGCCAGAGGATCAGCAGAGGCAAATCTCTTGAAACTTTAACTCAAGATGTGAGTTCTAACCTATGCCTTGGATTTTGAGAGCTTGATTTTGAATGTACATTTAAATGATTGCTTAGACAGTTCTCATGCCTGAGTTTTTCTGTCATCTTTAAATGGCTTCCTATCAGAGGGAATCAGGAAGTTCAGAAAGCAAATTGCGTGGCCAAGTACCAAAAATAGATCATTACCAGAAAAAATACAGATATCCCATGTAGAGCACATGCCTCAGTTTTAAAGAATAACACAAAATGCAGAGAACACTGTCTGTGAGTTCCTGGCCCCAACTGATACATCTACAACACAGCTCCTACAGCTAATGTGCAGGAACATTTCAGAAGAAACAGCAGAAAGATTCTAAGAGACAGAGAACCCAGATGTCACCTGTGAGATTGTGTCTTGTACGTAGGACAGTGAAACTACACCAGTGGAGTCTTACCAATGAGGTGGCATAAACAAGAGCTGAACACAATACCAGTTGGCATGCAAATGTGTATGGGGGAAATCTCACAAGGCCTCACCCTTGGATGAAGAAACTACATGCAACTAATGGCTGCTGAGAGAAGGAGAGTCTATCTTCTCTAGGGATGACACCACAGTTACTTACCCAATGCTAAGGGTCGTCCCTAAAAGCATATGCATATACTCAAGACTGAATGGGCCCTGTGGGTTGCATGTATATACTCTAGTCTGTTATGCTATGTCTCTTTTGTTGTGGAAATTGAGATCAGTAATACTGAGAGCTAATAATAAGAAGTATTTATTGATTCTGTATTTTTTGTTTAAGTGGTCTGGTAGAAATGTACAGTATACCTAAGAGTCCAGTAAGAACATGGATTTGGAGATGTATGTTGACACACACTCCACAAAAGGACTCCTGTAGCCCAGGTTGATCTAAAACTCTCTATGTCACCAAGGGTTACCTTGAACTTCTGTTCCTCTGGAACGGTGTTACCACTCTGCTGAACGTATGCAGTTCTGGAGATGGAACCCAGGGCTTTGTGCATGCTAAGAAAGAACTCCAGAAACTGAGCTACAACCTCAGCCTCTCTTTTTTCTTTTATAAATTTTATTTAGAAACAATCTTATTTTACATATCAACCCCCATTCCCTCTCCCTTACATCCTCCCATGCCCCCCACCAACCCCATCCCCCACCCACTCCCCAAGGATAGTGAGGCCTTCCATGGGGGATCCTCAAAGTCTGTCACATCATTTGGGGGAGGGCCTAGGCCCTCCTTCATGTATCTGACCTGAAATAGTATCACTCTATAGGGAATGGGCTCCCACAGTCCATTTGTGTGTTTTTTTTAATTAAAACTTTACACACCCTGTAACTTACTTATTCTGATTTAATTTTTTAATCTTTTGTTATAACCTCAGCAGTATGATAGGGCCTAGTCCACCATGAAATTTCAATATGTATGCTAAGCATTTTGTATTTTAGAAGGAAAATTCAGTTGTCAAGATGCTAATGGCCATTAAACTATATGCATATGTCATGATATATATGTATATGTAACAGTATCGCTATCACATGTTATAGTCTGCATATAGTGTGCATATAGAAATAGAAATGATTTTAATTTAAAAATAGTGTTTTAAGCCTTTAAAACATCTTCAATTATACATACACCTTTTATTTTTAGCATTCAAATACAGTGCGATACAGAAATGCACAAAGAGAAGACAGTGAAATAAAGATGATTCAGGAGAAGAAGGAACAAGCAGAGATGAAAAGGTACCATGTGGCTGTATCCCAAGGGTCTCTTTTGGGAGTTGCCTTTTCCCTTGGCCTTCTTCTCATCTCATAAATATTCCCTTGAAGGAAAGTGCAAGAAGAGGAACTCCGAGAGAACCACCCATACTTTGACAAGCCGCTCTTCATTGTGGGGCGGGAGCACAGATTCAGAAACTTCTGCCGTGTGGTGGTCCGAGCACGCTTCAATGCGTAAGTATGCGCCACTTACCACACTTGGACCAGGTGTTTGGCCTGAGACCTGTGAACAGCAGGGAGTTTGTCACAGGAAGAAAAAAAAAGGTCTGTGTATGCCTAATGGGGTCACAAAATAAACCATGGGCTAATTAATCATCTTGCTCCTCTTTGCTGATCATCTAACCAGGTGGGAAACAAAGGTTTTGAGCAGATAGCATTTGCAGGAAGCTCCCGTTGATAAAGCATTTAACAGCCCTGTATATTAGCACATTTTGGACATTTGTGTATGTCAATGTTGTTAAGTCTCAATTTTCCCTCAAAAGGATTAAACAGAAGGAAAAACAATGACATGATGAAGGATATTGTTCGAGGCTTCTGTCAGACTTGTACTTTCTGATGAAAACCTTTACTCTAGAGCAAAGTAGGGAGAAAATGTTGTCTAGTGTTTGTGTTACCAGTTGTTATGAGAAGAAAGACCACTATCCACTGTCTCTACCCCACCAATGTGGAAGAAATGGGTTAAGAACCTCTGTCTGTGTAACTCTGGGGAGACCTAAGCCAACTGTCACAGCCAACCAATCGCTAAAAGGACCTTTTGTCTAATGTTACTTTAAGTACAAAGCACAGATATTAAGAGTCCTGGCATAGGACTGGGAAGACAGCTCAGTGGATAAAATACTTGCACTTTGGGCCTGAAAACCTGCAGTTGTTTCCCCAGCATCATGCAAGATGCTGATGTGATGGCACAAGCTTTTGTAATACCAGCAACCAGAGCTGGAAATGGGCAACTTCCTGAGGCTAACTGGCTAGAGTCTTAATCAGTGAGCTTCAGGTCCCAGTGAAAGTTTCTATATCAAACTACAAAGTAGATGGCTCCTGAAGAATGATACCTGAAGTTGAACTCTGGCTTTCACCTTCATAAACACAAGTGTATTCCCCCCACCATACACACACACACCTTTATACATGAGTGATCTAGGGGAAGTGTGAAACTTTCTAGTCTTCTCTGTGTCCTCATTAAAGTACTTGGATATATTCTTTGTTAATAATTAACACCATACAGTATCATTACCTGTTAAATTCTTAACTGTTTCTATCAAAAATAAAAATCTGTATGTTGAAGTCATAACCTCTAGTATCTCATAATGTGGCAATGTTTGGGAACAGAAACCTAAAGATATAGTTAAATTAAAATGAAGCCTTCAAGATGGTGCTAATCCAATGTCTCACTTCCTTCTAAGAAGAGGGAGTTTGAACACAAATCCACAAAGAGGAAGCCCATTTGGAGACATGTAACCTGAAATAGTCTCTGCACTGCAAGGAGAGAGGCCTGGAATGGATCTTTACCCCACAGGACCCAGAAGGACACAACACTACTGACACCTCTAACTTGGACCTCCAGTCCTTCATAACCACAGCTTACACCACCTCTATGTATAATTACAGCACCTCTACAAAACCAGCATCACAGGAGACTGTGTATCACCATATATGCCCTCCAGCAATGATTAATACTGGGGGTCAGCTGGGATTCAGAGTCGTCATGGAAACAAACCTTGGGCATGTCTATGGGATGGTCTATTGGTAAATTAAGGTGGGAGATCCACTCTAAGTGTGAGTTGGCATCATTCTGTGGGCTTGAAGTCTGAGTCAGAAGTAAGTAGAGAATTTGCATTCATTGCAGCTTCTTGCAGCTGCAATGTGGATAGCAGCCCCAATCTCTTGCTACCATGACTTTCCCTCCTTGATGGTCTACACCTTGAATGAGCCCTTCATGTCTAAAGTTGCTTCGGTCGGTCATTTTGTCACAGTGATAAGGAAGTAACTAATAGACTTCCCCACCAACCTAGGAAGAAATTTAGATCTGAGGAGGCTGAGGGTTTTACTCAAGGACCCCATCTAGGGTGTGTCTCCCTCCCAATCACCACTAAACTGTCCCTCTGCTGTTCTAGAAAGATCTTCACTATTTAAAGTAGGGAATAATAATTTTAAAGCTTCCCTGAGAGTTGGCTAAGTGAAGAAAGATGGTGGAAGTTGGTCAATGCTCAAGTGAGGTTTTCATCTTGAATTACCCTGTTGGCTGCCTCCATGTTAACATCTAATTACTAATTCTCCATATAGTGTAATTGCCATTTTGTCAGCAACACAGCTGAATGGGCTGATGAAGGCCTTGTTGTAATTGGAAATGAACATAAAAAGACTACTGGGTCCTCACTGACAACCGCTCACAAGATCCCTAAAACTAAGCCTTAGGAATCCACCTCCAGTGAAATGAGATATTAATTCTTCCACAGGACCGAAGTGACGTGGGAAGTGAAGAACTCTCTTTAATTGATGGAGTGTCTAGATAAATAATTATGAAAACATCTTCAAACCAGTAACACAAGCATCTTAAATTAGTGTTTAACTTTGTGATGTCATGGCAGAAATCCCTAAATGGAGTCTCAAATCCAAAACCAAGAATTTGAGAATTCTTTTCATTTTTCTTTTAGCCAGTGTTCTCTGCCCTTCACAGTGATGTACAGTTAGCATATTTCATCAAGTAATTTTATAGAAGTCATAAAAGAAGTTCAGATACTTGTGATTACTAGCATGCTTGTTGTGTTGAAGAATTTTATATGCTGTTCTCTCTTACAGATCAAAAACAGATCCTGTCACCGGAGCTGTGAAAAACACCAAGTACCACCAACTTTAGTAAGCATGACAAGCTCTCTCTTCCCTGTGCACTTGAACTTCACATGTGCTACTTTCTGTTTCATAAAAATATAAAATTTTAGGTTGGGGAGTTGACACAGTGGGTAGTGCAAACACAAGGGCCTGAGTTTAAATCCCCAGAACCCTTATTTTAAAAAGCTACATATGGTGCCATGTGCTTATAACCCTAGAATTGGAGGGCAAATAAAGGTTCAGTGAGAGACTCAGGTTCAAGGATATAAAATGGAAAAGAATCCAGAATCTACCTCAGACCTTCCCATGTGCAGGCACATGTGCACATAGCTCTCACACACATGAACACATAAGCATGGTAACACAAACACATACACAAACAATACCATCAAAAACTTGTTTTTAGAAACACCAGTCGTGACAGAGCCACCAAATCCATGGTCACTGGCCCTTGCAGACATGGGTGGAGCCTTTGCCCTTCTCAGTTATGCTTGTTCTTTGACAGTGACTTACTGGGACTGGTCACTTACCTGGACTGGGTCATGATCACCGTGACAATCTGCTCCTGCATTTCCATGATGTTTGAATCACCCTTCCGGAGAGTCATGCATGCACCCACTTTACAGGTACTGTGGAGAAATCTGAGCTCCCAGCTCAGCAGAAAAACACTGCCTTGTTTTTCTGGTCTTGTCACAACCAAAGTGTCATTTGCTCTTTTCAGATTGCTGAGTATGTGTTTGTGATATTCATGAGCATTGAGCTTAATCTGAAGATTATGGCAGATGGCTTGTTTTTCACTCCAACTGCTGTCATCAGGGACTTTGGTGGTGTCATGGACATATTTATCTATCTTGTAAGTTTTTATTCTTTTCTAAATATAAAAATGTGATAGTTTTCTGCAACCCCTAGTTACAAGAGTAGGTTTCTGAGGTCTAGTTGTTGTAACTTAATTCTTTAATAGATTATAGTAACCTACTATGTGTAAATAAGAGGAATAATATGAAATCTAAGCAAATAATCTATATAAGAGGTATTACAATATCTAAAGATGTAGTTAAATATAACCATCACGGTTTTATGTATGGATGAGACTGCCTTAATAAAATCTAAAGCATCAAACTAGTTTGCATTCCGTAATTCTTATGGGTCTTATAATACAAAAATATTTTTGTCTAATAAATCATGATAGTAATTATTGAACCTCTTGTTATCAAATCCTTCCCAATTCTGGCTGTCACTGGTAGCCATCCAAGTGTTCTGTTCAGTTAATTTGGGAGTTATAGGAATGGGCTTGGAAACTTCATAGATTCAATGCAATAAAAAAAGAATTCCTTTGAGTGGTTGCATGTTGATAATCATCAACAACGTAGTAATGTCCTTGGTGAAAGGAATTCCATCATGGTATAGGATTGGGACAAAGTTCAAAGAACACTAAGATAAAACACAAGGTGGAATTAGGAGGGAGTACACAGACACAGAGGGGGTACCCTCTACCCCATACACCAGAGGCCTTTCTATGGAACCCTCTGCAGGCATAGGATCAACTCATTGTTGAATGGAAGGAAATGTGCTCAGCAGAAGAGACAGTATAAATTCCAGAGATTGTTTTTCCCTCTAGGTGAGCCTGATATTTCTTTGTTGGATGCCTCAAAATGTTCCTGCTGAGTCAGGAGCCCAACTCCTCATGGTTCTTCGGTGCCTAAGACCACTGCGGATATTCAAACTGGTTCCCCAAATGAGAAAAGTTGTTCGAGAACTTTTCAGTGGCTTCAAGGAGATTTTTTTGGTATGTGAAGCTCCCATCTGCTTCTTGTTCACTACAGTATAGTTGTCATTGACTGGTTGATAAAGGGATACTTGGAGAGCAAGGGCAAGTTCACACAGCTTTGTTCATTGCCAGAAAATTAGAAAGGAGACAAGGAAACTCCTTCTGAATCTCCACCCACGGATGTTCTAACTTACTTTATTCTAAAGAACATATGTAGGTACAATGCATGGCAACCCAGAGAGCTAGGATTTACTCTTTCATTCCACATTTGACTCCAATTTCTACTTTGGGATTTCCTTTATATTTCTAAACATTAATGATAACACAATGCAATCCCATCTACTTCATGAATGCAATAGAGAATTGGTGCATTTGGGTTCTGTGTGTCCCATCGAGCGTAGAAAACAGAATCTGTCCCTCCATCTTAGAACTGTTCACAAAACAACACTTAAAAACACAGCATATAGATTACTTTCATCAGCCTCAATAAATAGCATGTAACACTTACAAATATGATTCATGGGGGAAAGTGATCTTCAGACGGTCAAGGATCATATCAGTGTCTTCTAAGAACGGGGCTGGAGAGAAAACAAAAAGTAAGAGGTTCATTGCTCACATCTGTTTCAGAAATATCTTCATCTTTCAGAAGAATGACCACACAATTCCTTTATTATGGATGAGTTTGGCCTGTGTGTGAGGATCAGGGAATGATGGACAGATGTTTGTTTTCTACAAACAGTAGTGTTAGCTCAGCTGCAGTTTAGGTTGATATGAAAGCACCGGACAAGTATGTTGTGATGTTTCCAGAGGTGTGTAGCTGCTCATATTTTTAGAGGTGTGTTTGTTTAAAAGACCCAGTTTCTTTTGCACAAAGCTGTAACACTGTGACTTTTCACATGGATTCATGAGAAGGAAAAGACATTGTCACCGCACCAGGCAGTTCACATACATGAGTCTGGATTACTGATAGGGTTTGGAAGGGAATCTCACTTTGTCTTTCTCCTGAGAAGGCCTTTGTACAGCTTTAGATTACTTAAGACATCCGTTTAGATTATCCATCGAGTACAGTTCTACAGGTGCTGCAGTTAACCTTTTACCTCTTTTCTCTGCTTAGACAAAAGCAGCAGCCAGCAGAGGGAGCCCAAGACAGCTAATAGTTTTAGTCATGGCCCAGTGTGCTCTCTATCACAAGTGCCCTTGCTCATAAGAGAACAAAGCCACCATCTCTCGAATTTATGCTCAGCTAGTAAAGAAGTGACTCCATTTTGGGAAAATGTATAACGGAATTACTTTAACATTTTCTCTTGTTCTTTTAAATGAAAAGTAATGATTTTAAAAGACATATAAAAATGCCTTGTCTCATTCTCCTGCATGATAGCCATATGATTTTACTTTAAAATTTAAAAGCTTGTTGTTTCTCCTTTTCTCATTTCAAGAAGATGAATGGTCAAAAGATATCATTAAAAAGCAAACAAACATGAATTTTACACAATATGCTCTAAAATGTCCCTTTTAAAAAATATATGATTTAAACCTAATACTTAACCTAACTTTCACCAAGACACTTACTTTTTCATCAATTTCTTTCAGGTCTCCATTCTATTGTTGACACTGATGCTTGTTTTTGCAAGCTTTGGGGTTCAGCTCTTTGCTGGAAAGCTAGCCAAATGCAACGATCCCAACATTATTCGAAGGGTAAGACCTTCTCAACTGTCTTGAAATTAAAACCAAGGTAGTTTTGCCATTCCTTGTAATACATGTGTACTAGTGGCTGCCAGGAGCTCCCTCACAAACTCTAAGCATTCTCTTCCCACAAGTTCCTTTTTGCTGTAAGCATGTAGTATGTATGCCTCTTCCTGGTAGAAGGTCTGTGAGATTGTAAACACATCTCAGAGGATCCTCCTCCTTCCTGTTCCTTCCTGTCTGCTTCTGACAATGAACATGCCCACCCAGGATTTAACGTTTTTATAGTTAAGATCCTCTGAAGCTTCTCTTTAACTTTATCCTCCTCTCTGGGCATGCAAAACTCACCAGCAAATGGCACTCACTCCACCCAAGATACCTTTCCCTCTCCCTTTCCCTCTCCCTTCCCCCTTCTCTCTCCATCCCACACTCCTTTTATTTCTTTTCCATTCTGGGCATCCTATCCATGAGAAAATCAGTGTAAACATATTCACAGGTAACTACCCAGAGGTGTCTTATTTATGACAGTCTACAAGGTCCCCAACAAAGATCTTATCTTTCATAACCTCAGAACATTATTGTTTTCTCTTTATTCAGTCAGTGCCAATAAGTGGAAATTAGCTGCAATTGCCTCCTATCCTGGTAACATTAAATAATGATATGTATGTATTGCATTTTGGATAAGCTACACAGCTCTTTTCCAAAGTTTGAGTTCCTTCTATCTGATGGATCTATCCTTCACTAGGTCTTATCTGATATGGCAGATAAGAACAAGATATTAACTCTGTCATAAAGGGCTTTGGGTCCACATGGCTACAACCTATATTCTGATAGAAACAGCATAACCTTCCCATGCATGACTAAAGGCTAGGAAATGTAGTCTCATGTGTTCTAATAGAAAATAAAGGGACATAGTTTGGTTAACTTTAGCTCACCTCTGCTATGCTTCCCATGCCCCATTCTCTTGAGAGATAATTTTTAATGTGACAAGTAGATGAATAAAGCAAGCCAAATGCTGATGGTGTACTGTTACGATAAATCTTTCTGCCAAAAGCCGCCGAGCCCCACCGCCACGTGTGAGCTTTTCGCCAACCGCCCACCTGAGTTAGGCCCAAATGAATACACAGAAACTGGTTTTAGGTTCAAAGCTGCTTGGCCAATGACTAGGATTTCTCATCTGCTAGCTCAGTCTTAACTATCATAAACCTATATATTTTATAAGACTTATCTTATCGGATGCCTTATTGGCATCCCTCTTTGCCAGTGAATCACATTGTGCCACTGGAGCAGGAGCTGAGGAGAAAAGAGGGATGCTTCCTGTTTCGCCTTCTTTAAATATGAGTTTCCTTGCTATGTCACTTCCTGCCTGGATCACCACTTTTCTACTACATTTCCCAGAATCCTCTTTGACTCCTAGTCCTGCCTAACTTGCCATTTCATTGTCCAAGCAGAACTTGATTAAACAATCAATAAGATAAACTTACACAGAAGTACTTCCCCCATCAGTGTACAAACTAAAGCAAAATTATTTTCTCTCTCATCCAAATAAAGTGGTGTTTTCACTCCATTAACGTGTATCTCCCAAAGGTGTAGTAGTACTAAATTTGGCATTATACATTCTAACAAATATGGCCAATATGGATTCAATATGATAAAAACTATAAATTCTCTAGTGTAAACAGATGTGTCCCTCCTGCTCATCAGCTCCAAGTAACCACTCTGAGGCTTACATTAATTGTAAATGCTTGGCAAATAGCTCAGGCTTATTACTAACTAGCTCTTACATTTAAATTAACCCATTTCTATTAATCAATGTATTGCCATGTGGATTGTGGCTTACCTGTCCTCTAGCATCTTGCTTCTTGGGAAACTCCTGGTGTCTCTCATGATTCTGCCCTTCCTCATCCCAGTCCTCAGTTTAACTGTCCTGACTAACTTTATCCTGCTTTGCTATAGGCCAAAGAGCTTTATTATTAACCAATGAGAGTAATACATATTCACAGAGCACAGAAGGATTATCCCACAGCACCCTAGTTATTATCAAATGTAACAGGAGTCTTGTCCAGGCAAAATATTATAAAATATACTAATATAATAGAATTTTAGACATGCCAGAGGGATAGAGGTATTCTAGAAGCGTTCATTAACCAGAGAAGACATTACAAGGAGCATGGTACTGGTATAAAAGTCATGATGTACCATATCAGCAAATGAAGGAATTAATGAAGAGCTGATGCTTTCATCCACAGTCTTATGTAAGGATCAAGGGTTATTTTGGACTCAAACTGAACAAAATCCAGAAAGATAATAACAACATTTCAAGTTGAAGCATTGTAGGAATCCTGGGTGACTCACTGTATTAATGATGGCCTCAGAGCACCATGATATTCTATTATGTACTTATATGCAGCCCAAGCTAGGACCATGGACTTGTAGGGGGATGGAAAGAGCTCTGTAGATGAGCAAACACAAAGAAAATGCTTTTGTCATCTTGGTGAAAGCAGTGAGGTCCATGGGAGACTCAAACAGAAAACTTAAGGATACAGCCATTGTGCAGGGAAAAACATCCAGAAGGAACTGGCATCATGAGAAGTATTCTCTCCTTACATGTTAACTGATTCTAGAATAAATGACTATGGTGGTTTGAATAGGAATGTACCCCAGAGACTCATGTGTTTGAATGCTTAGTCCTAGAGAGTAGCATGGTTAGGAAGTGTGGCCTTGTTGGAGGAAGTGTGTCACTGGGGGCAGGCTTTGAAGTCTCTGAAGCACAAGCCAGGCACAGTGTATCTCACTGTCTTCCTGATGATTGCTGATATGGATGTAAAATTCTCAGCTACCTCTTCTGCATTATTTCTGCCTGCATGCCACCATTCTGGCTGTCATGATGACAATGGGCTAAACCTCTGTAAGCCAGCCCCAGTTAAATATTTTTCCTTTTTAAGAGTTGCTGTGGTCATGGCTTCACTTCACAGCAATAGAAACCCTAACTAAGACAAAAGTTGGTACTAGGAGTAGGTATTGCTGTGCTAGGCCTGACTGTGTTTTTGTTTGGAGGAATGTATATGATGTGGTATACTGCTCTTGTTCACTGTAAAGATTTGTCATTCATGTTTGTTCAATAAAACACTAATTGGCCAGTACCTAGGCAGTAAGTATGGGTGGGGCTACCAGACTAGCAGAATTCAGGGAAGAGGAAAGGCAGAGACACAGTCGTCAGCCAGATGCAGAGAAAGCAAGATGAGAATGCTTCACTGAGAAAAGGTACCAAGCCACATGACTAAATACAGATAAGAATTATGGGTTAATTTAAGTTGTAAGAATTTGTGTGTGGGGGGCCTCTATGTAACATACTACAATACAGCCCTTAAAAATAATGATGTAGATAAAGAATATTATAAAAAGTAACCAGTATATTTTTGGCTTGAAAAGATTAAAAAAAAAAAAAAACTGTGTGACCTCATGTGTGCATAGGAAAAAGACTCCCTCCTCAAGAGAATGTTTCAATTTGAAGGAAACTACCATGCAACAGAAGGTTGCCTGTGCAATAGGTAGGAAAACTGTGATTCACCTGCAGGCATCCTGTCCCCACATGCTGTGCTTCCAGCTAGGCTACTGGGGTGCCTTGTATGGTGAAAGGTGGGCTCAGAAAGACAAAACTGGAAGGGCAGCAAGGTCAAACACATTGTGGGGCCTCTATGTAACATACTACAATACAGCCCTTAAAAATAATGATGTAGATAAATAATATTATAAAAAGTAACCAGTATATTTTTGGCTTGAAAAGGTTAAAAAAAAAAAACTGTGTGACCTCATGTGTGCATAGGAAAAAGACTAGAATATAAGGAGAAATTCAACTGTGTGCGTCTCTGGGCAATTATAGGTAAATTTTCCTTTCCATTATTTTTCATACTTTTGCAACTTAGGTCAAAAGTAGTCTGTTTTTATTTTAAAGAATTTCACTGGAAAGAAGTAATATTGTCATTACTAAACTAACTGAGATAAAAACAGAGATGCGGGTGCTAGGGAAATGGTTTGGTTGGTAAAGTGCTTGCCGTGTGAAATGAGGACCTAAGTCCAAATCCTAACTCTCAGTTAAATGCTAGCCAGAAAGCCTGCATTGATCATCCCAGTGTGGGGGAGGCAGAGACAGGAGGATGCCTAGAGCTTGTTGGCTAACCAGAGTAGCCTCCTTGCTTAGTTACTAGTTTTGTGAGAGACCCTGTCTCAAAAAATAATGATTATAGAAGACACTAGATGTCACCCTCTGGCCTCAACATTCACAGGAACACACACACACACACACACACACACACACACACACACACACACAGGAGAAATGGTCCACAGAGGACTAGAAAATTGAGACAATTCCAAATCATGATGCAGAGAGGAATGGCGTGCTAACCCAAGGACATAACGCAGATCCAGGAAGAGATGTGTTTTACAGTCCAATGATGATAAAAAATGTTACCAAACACAGGTTTGGGCTCAAAATATAAACCAAGCCAAAAGTAACCAAAGAAAGATTGAGCAGAAAAATGAATCAAAACTTCAAAACTTATGTTTTTTTCTTTTTATAAACCTTTTTAACAGCTCTTTATAGAGACATAATTCAAACGCTGCATAATTCACCCCATTAGAGTGTGCCATTGAATGGATTTTGACATGTTGAGAGCTCCGCTACTGGAGAGTGTGGTCACTTTTCTATCATTACAAAAAGATTCCCTGTACATGCTTGAAGGTGGGGTTTACCCAAAGCTCCTCTTTCTTAAAGGGGCCCAAAGGGTGTGGCCACTACTGCAAGTTTGCTGGTAGGCAAGATGTCACTACACATGCTGACTGCCTCATCACTCTACCTCCAGTCTGACTGACCATTGTTTCCTCAATAGAGTTTCCTGCCCTAGACCATCATATGAAAGGAGTCATATCATGCACTGTCTTTTGTGACTGTCTTCTTTAACCTAGCATATCTGTGTTGACAATGGCCATCTATGTATCACTTAGTACTCCATCCTGTTCTGTGGCTAGTCCACTGTGAGAATGAATATACTATAATTTGTTCTTGTGTGTCCAGTTACAGACATTTGTGCTCCTACCTTCTGGCTATTATGAACATTATCAGTTTAGACATCCCTGTAACAGTTTTTTTTTTCTTTTTATAAATGTGTTTCTGGATATGGTGTAATAGTCTGTATACCATGGCCATAACAAATACCCAATGTTGGATATTTTTTAAAGAAAATATCCAATAGTGGTTTACTCCACTAACACATGTGCAAACTAGGAGTTCACAATTGGACAACTCCATCTGTTTAATCTTTGGTGAGGGCCCTCCTAGCTAGTTACATAATGGCAGATGACCGTGAGAGTATATGAAAGAGAGGCATGCAAACAGTGAGACAGAAACCAGATACCAGGATAGGACCTGCCTTGCTCTTTTTTAACAGCCTTTGGTTTTTGTTGTGGGAACTAGAGGTCAGGAATTAGCATGTATGCCTGTGGGAACAGCATCCCCACTGACCTAACGACTGACCATCACTGGGTCTTGGCTCTTATAAGACCCTCTTTTTCTCACTGCGTGCTCTGGGAACTAAGCTGCCCACATAGGATCCTCAAAGTATGAAGACAAACCACATCCAAAGCATAGTACCCACTGGTCTGTTAAATCACTGAAGAGAAGGCTAGACTATTTCCAACAGTGGCTGAACCTAGTTTTATGGTTCGTGTTGGTTCCAAGTGGGAAGGTCTCTGTTCCCCAAAGCCTTTTTAACCTTTTCACCACAGAGTTCTCAGTGAGTATAAAATAATAATTAACAGTGGCTTTGAGTTGCATTTCCCTGGTGACTTATGTTAGTGAGCATCTTTACTGGTCACTGTGTGACTTCTTTGAGGAAACATGCATTTAGACCCTTTGCTAGCAGCATCTTCTTTTACCTCCTCAAAGCCATCATTAGGATAGTCATAAGCAATGAATCCTGTCTTTGCTCAGACTTCACTTCTGATCAGGTTTCCCTACTTCCTTTCTTTTTCCTACTTTAGGAAGACTGTAATGGCATCTTCAGAATTAATGTCAGTGTGTCCAGGAACTTAAATTTGAAATTAAGACCTGGAGAGAAAAAGCCTGGATTCTGGGTGCCCCGTGTTTGGTAAGCTCATCAGAAATGCATCCTAAGCAATGCTACACTTATTCATATTGGGATTTAAATCAGGATAATTTGCATGAGACTAAAATAATCCTGTTTAAAATACTGAATTATTTTAAATAATATATGGAAAAGCATTGGGTTATAGCATGTTTTTTGTTTTTTGTTTTTTTGTTTTTTGTTTTTTAAAGACCAGTAAGAACCAAGTGGTACAATGAGTCCCATTTCTGTTTGTGAAACTAACGAAACAATACTTTGGAATTTTTCAAATGAATTCAAGTACATAGCTGGATTCAAATAGCTTTCAAAATTAATGAGGCTTTAAAACCAAATATTTCCAATCACATTAAAGCTGAATTCATTCTGGGCTTATATCTTTAAGAGAGGCATGCAAACATGCCTCTCTAAAAAAAAAGAGAGAGAGAGAGAGAGAGAGAGAGAGAGAGGCTGATGTCCTTACAACAGTTGCCAAAAACTCTAAATTATAAAGCTACTTCAATTACAAAGCTCATGTACACTGATGATGGATCTCTGTCACTGGCACTAAAGAAGAATAGTTGGTAGTGTAGTTGATTAGACTCAATTCTTTTCTTAAAATCCATTTTTCAAGGAACTGAGTTTTCAAAGTATTTGCATCAACATTGGGGCCTGCTCATTGTCTTCTTTCTTGTCTGCTTTATTAATTATTATGAATAGGATTTTTTTGCTTCATTGATAAACTCAGTGTTGCACCTATATCCCTTGACCTTTCAATTACCTTTTAAATTTCTTTTTACCTTAAAAACTGATTATTGATCTCCAGAAACCCTGTTTTTGTCATGACAGACTTTCTTTTCTATTCATCAAAACTTTTTCAAAGGAATAACTTTTCACCCAGCTATAGCCCTGACTCAATTCTATCTTATTCTGGCACTTCTCTGATATAAAATTCACTTTTATAAGAAATTCAGTATGATTGCTATTGGTTTCTTTTCTTTTTTAACATCTAAAAACTGTGGAAAACAGTTTATTTAGGATGTAGGGTTTGAGCATGGAAAAGAGGGATTTAACTCATGGGGAAAACCTTACCCAACACTCACTTAGAAAACTGGTCTAATTTCCATTAAAATAAAATTCTGAAGAGGTATAAAAGATTTATTTTTGGTGAGATGAATATTCATTTTACCATAAATAACTTATTTATATCAAGACATCAAATGGGATTCTCCTCCCTGCTGTTTTGAGATTTCAGCTAAAGCCTCAAACTGATCTTAATTCTAAATACAGAAACTCCCCAGAACTCACCAAAACCTTGTCACCCTCAGCAGCCAACACAAGCAGAACATCCTGAGAGTAAATGAGTCTGGGGAAGAATGCTATAGTGCCCTCACTTCTCACTATGGAGGAGACCAAGGTGCTCCCCACCCAAGTTAAAAGAGACCCCATAGGAGGACCCTTAGTATTAGAGCTTGGCAGAGCAGTGAGAGGCTTCAGGGCAAGGCTGCCTTTCCCCCTGCCAAAGCCAACTATCCCATCTACCTGGTGGACGATGTGGTCCTTGCTTAGAGCCACATGGACTGGACTATCTTGGATGGAACTCTATTGCAAAGGGCTATGTGTAGGGGAGAGGAAGGCTCCACTGAAGGAAGCCCTGGTGTGTTTCTAGGTACAGGAGCTGAGAGTCATAGCAGGAATGGAGCCACTGAGCATTCTTGTTTCAAAATGCAAGGGACTAATAAGAAATTTGAACTGTAAAAATAGCCAATTGATCTGTTGATGGCCACCATTGAAAAGCTAGCTTGTCCTTAACAGTGTTCAAGAGGAGAGTTGCCACACCTTGCGGAGGTACACTCAGGGAAACACCAAGGCTAGTCACAGGCAGAAGAAAGTTGTAGGGAAAGGCTATGTGTTGGATTTTCTGGTTCCTGGGAAAGCACAGGAAGACAAGGCAAACTAATGACAATCCCACAAGGATCTGGAACATAGATATTAGAACAGAGATATATAGAACCCCTAGTGTTCCCAAACTAACCTTAGGGTGATAGGAAGTATAGGTTGAATGCTTCATACATGAAAACCACATCCCCATGAGAAAGACTCTAACCTTTTGACAATGTGATCAAAAAGCTTTGCCGCCTCTGAAGATGTCAAAACAGGAGCCAGAACTTACTGGAAGGCAATGTTTAGAGACAAACAAACCTGTCCCAGGTAGTTCTATGCAGAATTCAACTTGTCCATAAAAGCTGCTATATGGTAACTTTAAAAATCAACTTTAGCTTAAATGTAATATTGCATTATTGCTGGGTGGTGAGGGAGGTCAAATTTAACACATTTTTAAATCCCAAGCAAATAGAAGGGAATCACTTGGACATCATTACACATCGTTACATTTTTGTCTGTTTGTCCTGGATTGTAGCTTGGGTTCACTGTGAAACAAAAAAACTTTAGTCTAGTAAATACCAACAGTAGTTTTGATAATTTTAAAACTCTCTTTCTTTAATCAGAGTTAAAAGCTGAAAATTTAATTTCATACCAGCTAAATTATAATTAAGAAAATAACTTAATCTGAGACTATGCCTGGAGAAATGTTTTGATGATTAAAATTAAGATATAAATATGCACTGTCTAATTCAGGAAACAAACTAACTCCATAGTGTTTCTTCAGATAAATACATGCATTTTCCTCTGAATCACTCAGAGTTGATGAAATTAAAAATCACCTTAGCAAAAAGGATTAAGCATACATTACATCATGAACATCCTGTGCTTTATTTTAAACTTGGACCTATAATATAGGAAGTAGCATGCATAGGTGGAAAAAAACCCAAAGTATTCTGCTTTTTGTTACTTGTACTTACTCATTGCTTACAGTCACTAGGAATGCTTGGCATTTTCTCAGCTGTAAGTTGTGGCTTTTGTGCTTTCAAAAGCAAATTACAAATAATTTCATATAACATGCTAAGGGTTTTGCTATGTATCAACAAAAGATGTTGGGTCTTATGGGGGCTCAAAATCAAAATCTAAGACACAAGGGTTTGAGAAGTGATCAGTAGTAAAAAGACCAGTTCTCAGTTTTGTTTTCTGCACTATCTATTGCTGTTTTCTACAAATGGCAGAAGTGCATTGAGTGCCACACAGGAGAAGAACCTAGCCCAAAATGTCTGTTGCCAGACTGAAGGGTCAGAGGAGAAAGCACATCAGCTTTCTCAATGACATAGGACAGACCAGGGACAGGTGACTAGGGAAAGGGAAGGGCCAGGGATAGGTGGGTAGGAAAGATGGAGGGGCCAGGTATGGAAGGACTGGCACAGGCCAGAGGCGGTCAAGACCACATTTTCCATTGTGCCCATCTTCCTCAGAGGAGGCTCTGGTAGCTTATCCTGATCTCTAGGACCCTGGATCCTGTTCTTCAGGAGACAAAAGAATGACCAAATTCTGAGGTTGGAACCAGTCTTAGTTTTATGACTTGGATAGACAACATTGAAAATTTTAACCAGAAATTTTTAAAAATTTTAAAAATTAACCAGAAAAGATTTTTTAAACAGCTTTTCAATTCAAATGAGGACAGCATACGAAATGACGATCATGGTTTATGTTCAGGACTTACCGAAACCCTCTGAAGTTACAGATCACATTACAAACTTGGCATTTTTGATAGCACAGCATAAACGAATACTTCATGATTATACTGGAAAAGTCTTATTTTTCTAAACGTGTTATATTCTTTCAACTGTCTGCCTTGTTTTTCTTGATTTAGCCTAAAAATATTTTTCTTAGCATTTTCCAACCTCTAAAGTATGTGGGACATGAAAGTAGTTTAAGTTGCTGGAAATTTAGCTGGGAAAGCACTTTCAATAGAGAAAACAGATGAGTCAGAAAGACTGACATTGGATCTGAGAGCTGGCTCCCTTGATTTTTTTTCAGTCCTTATGCAAGCAAACCTTGAGTATATATAGTCCTTAAAACCACTGTCCACTCTAAGAGACGGGAAATGTAATTGATACCCTCCCCAAGGAAAGAGTATTGTGAAAACCCAGGATGGTATATTTGTACTTTCATGCAAAAATATCAATCAGAATTCTAAAATGTGAGTATCTGAGTGGAGCTTCTACATTGATACCAACCTCAAACCCCGAGGACCAAGTCAGCTACAGACTCGGGGTTTCTCATTAGATCCCATGTATTACAGAGACATGTCTTACAATTGTTCCTAGAGTTAAGAAAGTGCAAAAGATAGTTGAAAATATTGAACCAAGTGCCTCTCTAAGGTGCTGACTTCATGAAGGTTAAATTTTGATAGACGAGGCAGCATGGGAAAAACCTATGGAAACGTAATACAGAAGGAGGCAGTGGGACTGACTGTGTTCAACAGCTCAGAGCTACATTCTCCATCAACCTCTGAATGGGTAGCAATCATCAAAATCTTTTAATTCATTAAATTCATTAAGATCTCTTGAATCTTTTAATTATATAAGATAGCCTCTCATAAAAGAAATAGGGTGGAAATACTGAAATGTATTCTACTAACAATGAGAGTCTGTTAGCTAAGACCCACTAAGGTAATAAAAAGAAACACTTTCACAACTGAGAAACGAAAGGTATAAATTACCAGAAAACACAGATTTGGACATCCTTCCCCACAAAGAAAATGAAGAATGATGGGCCAAGTGTTTAAGGGAACATGTGTCAGTGATGGATACTGATAGCAAGCTAACTAACACATTGCTGTGACTTAGAAAAGGAATGCTGAAGTGCCCAACTTCCCCCAGGTTAAAGACTCCTCACCCAGAACTGGAAAAGGTTATAGGGACTGTCTCACCAGGTGTGCCTTGGCCCCTCATCTAACATCCTTCTTTCCTAATTGCAGGGCGAATCCTCGGAACTTTAACTTTGACAATGTGGGAAATGCCATGCTGGCATTGTTTGAAGTTCTGTCTTTGAAAGGCTGGGTAGAAGTGAGGGATGTCATTATTCATCGCGTGGGGCCGGTAAGCAGCACATAGAATTTTCTAAGTACATCCAGTGTGGTTCCCATTGGCTCTGATAAATGACATGTTTCATTTACACAGATCCATGGAATCTACATTCATGTTTTCGTATTCTTGGGTTGCATGATCGGACTGACCCTTTTTGTTGGTGTAGTCATTGCTAACTTCAATGAAAACAAGGTAAGTCTTCTCAGATTAACAGCACAGACTTAGTTTTTGTTCTTGCCTTTGCTTTAAGCTAATTTTTTTCATACACAGCATGGAGCCACATTAAATTGAAATGTAACTCATGTAACTAACCTGTATAACTCTTTTACAGTCCACATCAATGCTGCAGCTAGGGTCCATTACTTAGGAATATAATTCTTTTGCTAAATTTACCCTATGGTAGCAGTAATTCACCCAGTTGAGAAGCACATCTCCTATTGTTCAGATGGGAAGGATGTACAGTGGGTTGTTAAAATGTGGTAGCTTGAAGTCATGCTCTGATTGTAGCCCATACTGCCTTTATAAAAATGTAAATTGTGTGCTTCTTTGTCACTACTAAGAATTTTTGACAAGGTGGGTAGCATCCATATAAAATGGAAAGGCCAGTTCATATAATAAAAAAGTTTTTTCTGAATTAAATAAACTTTACTTTCTTCCCAAATGCAGGAAGTACCCTCAGTTTTAACAGCTGTCATGATGGATACAAGATGGTGGTTAGTAAGACAGCAATGTGGTTTCCTACAGAGCACAAGTTTAAGAGGGAGCATTCTATTAGTGTCCCCTGGCTACTGTTTTTCTGGAAGAGACTGGTTGAACTATCTCTTGGGGGAGGTTTTGTCTGCAGGAATCACACTGAAATGCATACATACTTTGAGAGCCACTGCACAGAAAAGGCTTCTGCCAGCTTCCCAAATGCTGTGATGTGTGGATGAGAAAGCCACCACTATGAGGAATAAACACTTGGGCCCAGACTTAGACTCTCTTCCTATAACTGCAGGGTCTGTGATTCTTCGAAGGCAAGGGCATGAAAACCTCTAAACTGCAAAGCTCCATTTGCCTGTGAAGCACCTGCTGTTCACTTGTGCACAGTGATGACTGATTCCCATGCATTCATGCCAGAGCTCTTTGGTTTGTGTAGCTTACATGTGAGACGATAGCATTCACCGTCCCCAGGCTCAACGTGTGTGGTCCCACTGACTCAGTCGATTGCCACCTTTGATATGTGCCTAATGAGCATTTCATTCCAGTCAGCCTTTCAAAGACTACAACTTAAAAATCCCCCTCTGGACCCCAGTGCTACTCTAACCCTCAGAATCGTGGACTCCTAGAGCAGTAGCAATCCTGTCACCCACCCCTCTATTTTACTTCCCAACACGTTCATACATGAGACACTCTAACCCTTCAGTGTGTTCAGTTTAATATCAGGCAGAAAGAGAAAGATGTGTCTTTTTAGGTACCTTTGAGACGTGTGGTGGAGCAGACACTGGGGATTCCAGAATACAGGAAGAAGTTAATCAGTCCATTACTAGAGAGATGAGTCACTGCTGGTCCAGGATGGTTTACAGGTCCCTTTGCAGGCCCCTGGGTGCAAGAGGACTGGTCTCCAGGGCAGCTCACAAGTCAGCCGCATAAGTGACCCAGCATACAATGCTCAATAATGGGAAGAACTGTATAATTAACTGTCAGTCTTGAAACAGCTGTGAATTACTGAGGATTGTTTGCCTCCAATACCATAGTTATGTCCTAAAAGAGTCAGGAAATGACAGCTTGTTTGGGAACATGGTGTGTTAGTCCAAACAGATGCCAAGAGGGAGGCAGAAGTTAGCAGCCACTTTACCAGATGTCACAAACTTGATTTTTTTGGTTGGAGATAAAAGGCTCGAGAGAGAGAGAGAGAGAGAGAGAGAGAGAGAGAGAGAGTGTGTGTGTGTGTGTGTGTGTGTGTAACTCAGTTTCAGGGGATTCAAACCTTCTGAACCTCATGCGCAATGCACATGCATGATTTACACAACTACAACATACAGGCAAAACAAAATAAAATCAATCTTTAAAAAAAAGTGGGCAGGTGAGATGGTTCTAGTGAATTTCTCAGAATCCATCAGGTAGAAAAAAGAGAACAGACTCTGGCAATGTTTCTGGCCTCTAAGTTTGTGCTGTGGCATGTGCTTGCACATGCTTGCATGTGCGCACGCATGTGCGCGCGTGCGCGCACACACACACACACACACACACACACACACACACACACACACACACACAAATAATAATTGTAATAATAAGACTTGGTTTAAAGACAAAAATTCATAAATAGATACAGAATGGATACAATTCATACTAATTTAAAAATTCCAAACAAATTTATTCTTAGGTACTTTTATAGTCAGAAAGCAAACATTTCTGAGAAACAAGTTAGGAGGTTATTCTCTGGAAGGACAGCCATTATCTCTACAGAAGAAAATGAAGAAAGGGAATGATATTCCCCCCACAACCCTAGTTTCTTATATTATACTTATGCCCCAATAACATAGTATAATAAAATCAAATGTAGAATAATACAATGCAATATAATTCATGTGCATTTTTATCAAGTACTCTATAACACAGAATATCTGATCCCATCTAGCAAATTATCATAGCATTCATTTCTGAAGAAGGAAAATTCTATGACTTCTTATCTTCTGAAAGTAGCCTTGCAATTGTATATATTGGAGTATCTAAAAAGTGTGTAAAGGACAAAGTCCCTCATCCAGCATGCCCTCATCTGGCAGCCGCACTGCAGACAAGCTGTGGTTGGCTACTATAAAACTAAACTAGCTACAGTTTGTCACTATCCTTTCTGGAGATGTAATTATGTAGCAAATATTCTTGAAATTTTCTCAAGCCCAGATGTTACCTTTCTTCACTCACACACACTGGAGGCTGCTGAATGCCCTGGGCATGCACCTATCCCTGTTGGAAATAACTCTCAACGTGAGTTGCTAGTTCTGACCATGTGTCTCCAACTGCTATGGTTCTTTCGGACTGTCTTTCTGTCATGTCTCCACATTGGTCCTTTCCTTTCCTTCCACTGTTTCCAAGGGGACAGCTTTGCTGACGGTAGATCAGAGAAGATGGGAAGATCTCAAGAGCAGACTGAAGATTGCACAGCCTCTTCATCTCCCACCGCGGCCTGGTATCAAAGAAGCTCTGATTTTATTCATGTTGGGCACTAGTGTTCCTGATTCCCTAAGAGCCTCAGACTGAAATTAAAATAATAATCGTGAGGCCACTAGGGGGTTGTGCATAAGTTAATACAGAAACAGACTCCAAACAGCTGATCTCTCTGTAAGGTTGTTAAAATCAGCCACCTAAAGACTGTGCTTCATCGCTCTCTGAATAAGCCTTAATGAAAAAAAAAAAACTAAATTTTTAAATAAAACACATTTGTGCTTGCCTTTTAAAAATATGAAGGAAATGTATTAAGCTGCCAGAAATTGAATGATACAGTTCTCCTTCTAATATGGATGATGCTGTGTGCTGTCATTTTAATATGGAGTGCCAGCCATTCCTGCAAAGCACTTCACAATAGAAAGAATTGGAGGGGGGCTGTAATGGGTTTAAAGATGAACATTAAAGAACACGAAAGACAAGAAAGTAATCTGGTCCATGTCTAAAGTGCCCTCACCTATACCTTTCTCTTTCAGATAATGATGGCTTTAGAGCTAAGATGTATGACATAACACAACATCCCTTTTTCAAGAGGACAATTGCATTGCTTGTTCTGGCCCAGTCTGTGTTGCTCTCTGTCAAGGTATTGCTTCACCCTGAGACTTTTGGAGTAGATTCCACACCTCTGGTGTATCCAGGAGTATTGCCATTGGGCATTGCTATTTGCAGCCTCTGACCTTTAGTAAAAGTAAAGATTGGTATGTGTGCTAGGATGAGTAGCAGGGAGGGAAAAGTCATCTGTCTGGTGCATTTTACAGTGACATGTGCTCTGGTTGCAGTGGGACGTCGAGGACCCCGTGACTGTTCCTTTGGCAACAATGTCAGTGGTCTTCACCTTCATCTTTGTCTTAGAGGTACAGTAATGAGTCTCCTGGAAGCTAAGGACACCGAAAGCAAAACAGTCCCCTCCCTTTAATGGCACCTACTTCCAGCTCTGTGTTCTCTTGTTTTAAGGGGTGGATTTCATGGGCATCTCCTTTCTGGCTGTACTGCTTAACTTCAGCAGGGACTTTGCTTTATCTTCCCAATTTTTCTAACTGCTGAAACATCCCTGACAATTGTTGCATCTGAGTGTTGGCCTGCCTAGTAATGGGGTTTTTGTGTTTAGAGCACAGGACACAAGCTGCTGTTACTCAGGGATTCAGATTACAGCACAGATGCAAGCATGCCAGCCGCACAGCCTAGATTATCTAAAACATTTTCCCTGTGTCATGTCTATCTGCCATTCAATCTCCTTAGAAATTCTAAGTGGATTATCATTTTTCTGTAAAATGGCTGATGTTTCCCAAAATACAGTTATTCATCCAAGGTAGAAAAGTAGCCTGCAATGAGGACTTAACTATCAATCCAGGAGAAAGAATATGGAGAATAGAGATATGCAGCCTGTGTGGCTTTAAAAACATGTATCTTTGTGATTAACTCCTTTATTAACTATGTCCTTAATTATATATATATATGTGTGTGTGTGTGTGTGTGTGTGTGTGTGTGTGTGTGTGTGACAACTCAGCTAATTGATTTAAACATGCCTAAGCTCTTGCCTATGTCCTTATTGCTTTCTCTAGGTTACAATGAAGATCATAGCAATGTCACCAGCTGGGTTCTGGCAAAGCAGAAGAAACAGATATGATCTCTTGGTGACATCTCTTGGTGTTGTATGGGTGGTGCTTCACTTTGCTCTGCTGGTAGGCACATCATTAAACTTCATTTTAGCTGATAGCTCAGTTTTCCTTAGTTCAGCTGTTAGTATTCAGGCATCCGTACTGGCCTGTCCTTGGGTTTCTGACAGGATATGCCCTCAGCTGCAGCCACTAAGAGCCCCACCTGTGCAGATTCACTATGTTCCTTTTTAAAGGGGCCCTGCAAATATCCCATCCTCCTCTCTCTCTCTCTCTTTCTCTCTCTCTCTCTCTCTCTCTCTCTCTCTCTCTCTCTCTGTGTGTGTGTGTGTATCTCTGTCTCTCTCTGTGTCTCTGTCTCTCTGTCTTTCTCTGTCTCTGTCTCCCTCTCTCCCTCTGTCTCTCTGTGTCTGTCTCTCTGTCTCTCTGTGTATCTCTGTGTGTGTGTCTCTCTGTCTCTCTGTCTCTGTCTCTCTCTCCCTCTCTCTGTGTCTGTCTCTCTGTCTCTCTCTGTCTCTGTCTCTGTCTCCATGTGTCTGTCTCTCTCTCTGCCTCTCTCTGCCTCTCTCTCTCTCTCTCTCTCTCTCTCTCTCTCTCTCTCTCTCTCTGCCCCTCTTTCTTTTCTCCTGCTGCTCCTGTCCCCGGAGGCTGGTCTCTCCCTCTGCTTTCCCCGTTTTATAGTCCCTTTTCTTAATAAAAAAAAATCCTCTGCTTGAACCCTGTTGCATGGCATCTTTCTATCATGGACTGCTTTTCTTAAATTACAACACTGGTCTGTTTCCAGTCTCTTTATTCCACATTAGTTGCTCTGGAGTGCAATATCAAATCCTTAAACCGCAGCTTTGATCATGAAAGTCCTGGGGCATGCTTGGAAATTGCAAATGCAAACACATATATGTGTGCATGTGTACACACACCAACACTTCTCACACAGGCAAATCCTGGATCTTCAAAGGCCTATGGCGTACAGCTCTGGAAGAAGGCTCTTAAAGACAGTCTAATTTAAGTCTTCATTTACCAAAGGAGACACTGAAGTAGACACGAAGGCACCTGCCTAAATTCACACAGCAGACTAGAATCAGAAGAGTCAGATCTTGCACTCTGAGATAGAGCAGCATCCACCCCACCCCTATCACAAGCAAGATTTACAATGTAATCCTTGTGTACTTAAGGCACTCTTCTCTCTCAGACATCTCACACTGATTCTTTGAACCCATCAATCTCCATTTGTCTGAGGTCCAGCCCCAAATCTACAGCCATAGGAAAACTTGGCTCATTTACAGTCGTGTTGCACAGTGGATATAAAACATGGTGCGTGGTTGATGCTGGCTCACACTGTACACTCCAAGCCAGTGCTTCGCAACCTTCCTAACGCTGCAACTATTCAATTCAGTTTCTCATGTTGTTGTGACTTCCAACCGTAAATTATTCTCATTGCTACTTCATAATTGTGATTTTGCTACAGCTATGAATCATAGGGTAAATATTTTTGGAGACAGAAGTTTGGCAAAGGGGTCATGACCCACAGATTGAGAACCATTGCTCTAAGCTTGACAGCAGCCTATAAGGTGTAAGCTATAAGTACCATCTTTTCATTAGTCTTCTACTGGCCCAGTGATTGGTGTTCCACATTCTCCCATCCTCATTAATATCAGAGGGCTCACAGGAAGTATCCAGGACTCATAGAGCCCACTTGCATATCAGACAGGGCTTGCTCTACTTTGGATCTGACATATTCATAAGCATGCTGAATGGCCTTCTTAAACCAGTGGTTGCCTTCAGCAGTAGAAGCTCTTTAGGTCCCCAAACACCTGTACTCACCTCTCAATTAATAAATGACTTACAATATGCTGATGAGGAAAGCGCTGTCAGAGGATTAACAAGGAAGTGATAAACAAAACAAAGACATCCACAGGTGTCATAAGCCTGAAAAGCTAGAGAGACCTTCACAGTGTGCTCACTAACTGGTAAGAACTATGGGTGTGCTGGGAAGGATGAAGGAGGTCCCATGTTCCCATGACAACAGCAAGGAGTGGGAAATGGCTTCATCATAGAGGTCCTGGAAAGCATTCTCCTGGAGAAACTGAGCTCCATTTACAGAGCGTTTCAGTTGCCTTGGGTAGGATGAAATGATACAGGGACTGGACAAAGGTGAGGTCTTGTGGCTGAAGTAGACGGAACCAGGGCATATAATACAGCACAGGGTTTGGAGAAACGGAAATATAAGTCTTTCCAGGTCTTTTGGGTCCATGTGAAAATCACCCAGTCATTATCCCAGGGGAGGTGGTTGACTTCTAGAACATAGGGACTTACGGTGTCTACAATAAATCCTGAACTGGTGTGGAGAGAAGAGGCAGAGAACATGTTCTGATTGTATTTACATTACCTAGAGAAACTTGACTAAATGCTACTCACTCTAAATGGAAGAATACACGGCTTCCTAATCTCAAATGCCCCCACACACACACACCACAGAGGAAATTCTAAACCATAAAAACATCTTCCCTCTTCTGCTTGACTGCCTTTGCTCTTCCCCTAAGAGCATCTTGGTCTGAGAAAAGCAGCCGTTCTTTGCCGTGTTTCACAGTGGACTGCTGGGAAGGAAGGCACAGTCCTTGTATTCCATCCAACAATGCTATGTGCCCACATTCCTGTCCTTTTGCCTCACCAAGGAGCTCAGTGGACCCCCTTCCCAGGGACCCATCTGGGACTGTTGTCATTTGGCTAGGCAGCTCCTGGAGAATGCTCAGGCTTTGGCATCAGCTGAATGTCACCGTTGTTATGGTGTGGCCAGTGGCATCTTTGTTTCTCAGAAGAAGCTTTGTGAATCATAAGGCACAGAGTGGTCTCTGGCCCTCCGCACACATTTGAAGAGCAAGCTGATGCAATCCTCCAGAGCTGGGGGATGGGTGCTTTTCTAAAATGAACAGAGGAGTGATCTCAGAAAAAGCTGCCTTCAAGCATTGCTGTTATTGAAGTAAGGCCCCCTGTAGCCCAGGCTGGCCTTAAAGTCACTATGTAGTCAAAAGCATGACCTTAAAATTCTGATCTTTCTCTACTTCCCAAGTGCTGGGGTTATAGACATCAACACTACTCTGGGTTTATGCAATATGGGATATTGAACCCAGGGCCTTACACACTTGGCTAGACTTCTACCAGCTAAGCTACCTTCCCAACCCCTTCAAGCACTTGTTTTCAATATCTGACTACTCTTTCCATGATGCCTTTATTCCCTATCTCACTCTGCTTCCTCCCATATCATGATTACCCTGTGTTTTTCTTACCTTGTCCTCAAAAGGGCTGGTCACTGCCTTATGTGAAATCAGTTTCAAAATACAGAATTCATTTGAGCAAAACAGAACCCAAAGTTTCATCTGAGATCTGATTTTAAATCTAATATTTATTCATGAGTTTTTGCAGTGACCTTTTCAGCACCTTTATTTTAGATAAATTTCTTATAGGAATTTTCACATTTTATTAAACTAATTATTCAGTAGACTTCACAGAAGACAAAATGAAAAATGGAACCATAACAAGATCTTTTGTGCAAATTGTAAACACCTGTCTTCTGTTTAAATTTCAGAATGCATACACCTACATGATGGGAGCCTGTGTGATTGTCTTTAGATTTTTCTCCATCTGTGGAAAGCATGTAAGTCTATGATGCAGAATCTTTTCAAAGGTCACATAAGCATTGAATCACTGGTGCTAACTGACCTCAGCCAACCTGGTTGTTACAGCAACAAAATACTAAACATCCTAAGCCAAGATTAATAAATATTAAATATTATTGAATTAATAAATATTAAATATCACAAATTGTCTTAGACTATGCTTCTTGTTGTTATTCTTGTTTATCATATCTGCTGAGTAAGCTCATTCATAAATGAAAGCCAAAAGCCAATGTCATTCCTAATGTGTCTGAATTTATGTTTACTTAAATTAACTTTATTGCAGAGAAAATTCATAATTGATGATAATGTTTCCATTATTCTGGATTCCTTGTCAGCACTTATGAACACTACCTGTGTTCTCCTTTATAAAGGGATATTGTTTCTTTTTTGTCATTATTTCATATATGGATTCCATGTATCCATGTAATTGGTAGACTTAATAATTGGTTATTTAACACGAAACCATTATTGCATTTAGTGTTTTAATATGTCTTTGGGGGACAAATAAATTTACCTGCTATAGATCAAAAGCATGTTGACCTTACAGAGGTCTGGGCAGCAAAGGAAGAAGTGGAAGGCTGAGAGGCTTGTGATGCTAATTCAATTAATGTCTCTGCAGTGATGAACTGTTTGAAGTGTGAATAAGATTTATCAATGCCAGATGGTTTTTGAATAATATTTAGATTTAATATCTAACAGGAAACAACTTTCAAACAATGTACTTGGGAATCGCTACACAGACAGCCTGCTTTTAGATTGTTCACCAGGCAGTTCCTCTCCACAGTGAACTGGCTCTCCCTCCCCTTCTCCTCCTCTCTCCATCTGCCCTGACACTGCACCCTTCCTCACCCACAGGTGACATTAAAGATGCTCCTTCTAACCGTGGTTGTCAGCATGTACAAGAGCTTCTTTATCATCGTAGGGATGTTCCTCTTGCTGCTGTGCTACGCCTTTGCCGGGGTTGTTCTGTTTGGTACTGTGAAATACGGAGAGAACATCAACAGGTCAGCATGTGTTTCTCCTTCCTATTTATTTACTAAGCAAACTATTTCATAATAAAATCATGGACTTGAACTAAGTTTTTTGACTGTTAAAGACTTAAGTGTTGTGCAAAGGGGAAGTAATCTGTTGAAAAATAAAATAAAACACATATTTTAAAAGACATTTTACAATTGACAAAGGCAGGCATTTTTATTTTAGAATCCTTAGAAAATGCAAAAAACAAAACCACTCCTAATTTCAGAAGTTTTTCTCTCATGTATTTCTCTGAAATGCTCTATTACTTTATTGAGAGTGAAACAGTTTTGAGACGACTTTCTTTTTCAGCAAAGTGTAGAACATTAGAACCTACGAAATCACTCTCTATGAGAAAATCATTTCCAAAAGCTCATCTTCCACATATGGAAGTGTCTGCTGTTGTTATCTTAAAGGTTCTAATACAACAAAACGCATGCAAATGCCTCTCTGGCAGGTGATTTATTTGGTAATGGCTGAGTCTTCTTTTATGACCAAGCAAAGGGAAGGATGACTTCTTAGTAGCCAAAGCTCACTCAATCATTCAAGATGAGAGCCAGTAAGTTGGTGACCCTGTGAGAGCTGGCTTGTCAGGCAGCCATACCGCCAGCAAGAGGCTTTAAGCGTTGGTAATCGGAACCTGGTAACCAAGCTTGCAAAAGCCACCTGTTTGGTGGTGACCACCCGTATTGCTTCATGGCAATGACAACTCATGCAATCCCCATTCTGTTTTCTTTTCTTAAATTAGGCATGCCAATTTTTCCTCAGCTGGCAAAGCTATTACTGTATTGTTCCGAATCGTCACAGGGGAAGACTGGAACAAGATTATGCATGATTGTATGGTAAATATCCCCTCATCATTTTCAGTGCCACAACATAAACTCACGTGCACATGGCAGTGGTATCCTTGTTAGCATAAAGGCCTTGTGTTTAAAATAAAGAATAATCTGGCCATCTCGTCCATAAGTTGCACTTTTTAACATTACAAGATCTGAATATAAAGACCAAAATATTCACGTAACATAACTTATGCTATTATAATAGTAATTAACAGTGAGCATTGTTCTTTGACATGGGATAATACTCTTGTACACTCTAAAGATTTGTCACTCCCATTGGTTTATTATTGTGCCTGGGCTTTGACTGTGAGTTGTCACATGAACTCAGGTGTGAGTTCTTCCATTTGTGGTATTGTGTTGGTACTAAAAAGAATTCAAAGACTGAAGCATTATTTTGGACTAGGGATACTAACCTGTGCCATAAGTACCATTTCACCTTGATGGGTTGCCCCTCCTTTAGGCCATAAGATCTATGAGCACAGGAACCTTGCCATTTGGGAATTGCTTTACCTCAGTGCCTAGATTAGTAGCCAGGCAGGAAGTATAGGTGGGGCTACCAGACTAGGAGAATTGTGGGAAGAGGAAATGCAGAGATGAAGTTTCCAGCCAGCCACAGAGGAAGCAAGATGAGAATGCCTTACAGAGAAAGGCATAGAGCTAAACATAGATAGAATTATGGGTTAATTTATTAGTAATAAGCCTGAGCAATAGGTCAGACAGTTTATAACATGCCTCTGTGTGTTTATTTGGGACTGAATGTCAGCTACAGGACCAGGCAGGACAGAAACTGTGTCTACAGTTCTTTCCTTCCTATCCTTCATAGATTAGCCATCAAAACAAGGACATTTATTTAACACATTTGTCAGACACTCACCAAGTACCTGGTTTGTCCTGGGCAAAGGCCTTCTGCTGGTCCAGAGGTTCCTCAAGGCATGTGTGCCTTGTGGTCTGAGCCACTCCTCCCTTTGGTAGCTGATTTTCTGTCCAATAAGTCTGTATCATCCTCTGGTCATGGTATTAACACTTGCTTCTTCATGCATTTTTTGCCCACATTTAAAGCTATGGGTCATATATTCTTACAGCATTCTAGTATTTCTTGTTTGGACATGCATAACAGTTCTAGGGAATCATGGAGTTAAACTTTCTTCCTTTCCCCTCCCTCTCACCTCATAGATATCAATGATGCCCTACAGACATCCAGTGAGGGAGCCTGTGCTGTCCAGGCAGGAAGTTGCTAGGCATGTGTGGCTCAATATTGAGCTACTGAAATGTGACTAGTTGCATCTGAAGAACTGTTTTACATTCCATTCATCTTCGTTTAATGTTAATTAATATAAATTAAATTTAAATTATCACATGGAGCTAATGGCCCTTTTGCTGGCAACTGTGATGTTAAAGTGTGGTCAGCATTCAGGGAACAGGGGTGTGTCTTTGTTATTAGTCTGTCCCTAACCCTTGGCACAAATATAGCACCTAGTAGTGTAGGCTTAGGGAATTTTAAAAATGAAAACTAGAATCCCAATTTATCAAGTCAGGTACAACACAAGACAGAGTTCAATAAATCCTACACAGGAGACCCAAAAGAGTATGTAGGAACACAGAAGAAAGAGCCAGTTATTCTGGTTAAGAGAAACCAGGACAGTATCACAGAAAGGTTTGTGGATCTGACAGAATGCACGGCTTTTCATTACCGAACCTAATATGTTTCTGTAACATTTCATTTTGGTGCCTCGGATGGGGGATTAGTCCTTACACAACTTGAATGTGAATTTGGCATGTGCATTCTGCTTATGTACAAACTGATCCCATTGCTTAAGTCAGAAAAAAAATTAAGTTTCTCTTTATTTGACTCTCTAAAGTTTGACCCTAGGGACTCCTGGTGAGGATGGGAAGGGTATCTCCCATGGGAAGCCTGTTCATTTCCATTTTGCTTCTATCAACAGCACTGAACTGGGGCATCTACAAGACCAAAAACCTAGCACAGATGAAACACTCTTGTGGAGTCCTGCTGCAAATGGTCTGTGTGTGTGTGTGTGTGTGTGTGTGTGTGTGTGTGTGTGTGTGTGTGTGTGTGTGATGGCTTTAAATTAACCACATCCCATACTGTCAAGAATATGTTCACTAGGTACTGCAGTCAGAAGACATCTGTGCCCTTCCATTCCTTCACCCTTGCCTTCGTGTCCCCCACTGCCTTACAGGTTCAGCCTCCATTTTGTACTCCAGATGAATTTACATACTGGGCAACAGACTGTGGCAATTACGCAGGGGCACTTATGTACTTCTGCTCCTTCTATGTCATCATCGCCTACATCATGCTGAATCTGCTTGTAGGTAAGAGATGTTCGTGGAATTATTTTTTCATCTCTTCAAACTCAGGTACTTAGATAATTATGTACAATTTTCAAGTAATTATTCTGGGTTGCTTGGGGCGGGTGTTTCATGGCATTAATTATAAATTGTTGCCTCTCAACCCAGGAGCTGAAAAGAGCTTTGAAAGGCATGGAAATGGCAGTTGATTGCAGTTTTGAGAGTTGTCCTATTTATTATGCTCATTAATTCCCAAAGAGCTTTTCCTATGGATTGGGCTGAACACAAATCAGGGAGGGCTACTTCCATAGCCTCAAAATGTAATATTTTTTGTTTTAAAAGATATATTTTGTCCACCCAGCTGTGGGGCAACCCAGATCCCAATATGACCTCTTAAAATGCCCTGGAATGCTCAAGTAAGAGCAGAGGCAGATGGTATGAATGTCTACACAGAGTGTTTTTGAGGTGATAACCATTCTGTTTTGGAAAGGCAAGTGTCAAATAAATAGCTTTGTCCAACTGAGAGATAGGCCAACTTGGAAACTGTACTGAAATCACTTTGGAAAAAATTGGCTTTATAATGTGAGTGATAACATCTATTATTTATAATAGATGTTTTACTTTTTCTAAAAAGTGACATATTAGCATACTTGTCTAACCCCTGAATTTTTTTCTCCTTAGCCATAATTGTGGAGAATTTCTCCTTGTTTTATTCCACTGAAGAGGACCAGCTTTTAAGTTACAACGACCTTCGCCATTTTCAAATTATATGGAACATGGTGGATGATAAAAGAGAGGTAAGAACTATGGGTGTGGCTCACTTGCTTTCCAAGCACACATAGGATCCTGGTTTTGGTCCCCAACACCACATAAAATTGGGTGTGGTGGTTCATGATTGTATTCCCAACACTTGGGAACTGGAAGCAGGAGAGTCAGATGTTCAAGGTCTTCCTCAACCTGGAAACCTGGTCATTGTTTCCTGCTCCATCTCAAAGAGAATAAATGACCTGTTTCAAGAGCCTTCAGGCTAAGAACTGATGTAGACTAAATTTGGAACTGTCACCGCTGCATTGCAGAAACATGCTATTGAGTCAGGATGAGTACAAAAGGACCAGGAGCAGAATGGCCTCATCTCATGTTCCTTCCAACCACGAGCAGCCTAGTCTTCAGACTTTCAGGAGGTCAGCAAAGGAAGAAAGCTAAACGGCATCTGTCCTGGCCTTGAGCAGAGGGAAGGAATTTGCAGCTCCCAGAGGGAAAGCCTACCACAGACTTACCATCCCCTCAGCCTTCAGCAGCCATCTAGATGAAATACACATATGAGTTACAAGTGATGTCTGAGGATGTAGCTCAGGGGTTGAGTGTTTGCTGAGCATGCATGAAGCCTGTCTTAAATAACCAGCACCAGCAAAATTTAATTAGTTACATGGAGGCCTGTTTATTTTGAACAGTTTCTATGTTAGTATGTAAGTATCTTAACCAGTATTTCCAAGAATTAGACAACATACAGACAACTTCCTTGTTCTCACTTTCCTTCTTTCCCTCCCCTTCCTTCCCCTTTCACCTCGTCGGCATTCTGCATGTTCTTCTCTTCTTCTTCCTGTACCTCCTTTTCATCTTTACCTTACCAAAGTCTGGCACAGTTCTAGGCACTGAGGTAAGGCAATTCCCAAATGGCAAGTTTTCTGTGCCCACAGATCTTATGGCCTAAATGAGGGTGACCCACCAAGATGAAATGGTGCTTATGGTGCAGGTTAGTATCCCTAGTCCAAAATAATGCTTCAGACTTTGAATTCTTTTTAGGACCAACACAATACCATAAATGGAAGAACTCATACCTGAGTTCATGTGACAACTCAGTCAAAGCCCAGGCACACTAATAATATTATACAAAATTACTTCCAGGATATGTGTATAACGCATATTTGAAACATTAATTCATGGCACCTGCACCTGTAATCATAGTACATGGCAGGCAGAAGCAGGAAGATCAGGAGTTTGACAACCTTAAGTTTAAGGGTGACCTGGGATACACAAGAACTTGTTTTGAAAAGATTAAAATTTAAAAAAATACATGAATGAATTTTATGAATAGACTTGAATCCTATTCCCAATATCATTCATTCTGTAGATGAAAATATTCCAAAGTCCATAAACCCAAAATTTGAAACACTTCTGACCCTAACATTTCGGTAGGAGACATTCAACTCAATTAGTTCCAGAAATTCTGAGTGTGTTGAAGAAGGCAAAAATCGGATGGGTTGGGGTAGATCCTTTAACTAAGAAGGTCATGAATGTGTGGGTGAAGAGGAGATGGTTGAGCTCACATCAATAAATAAGGAAAGTTCAACCGTGGAAAGATCCATCCTGGGAAGACCCAGACATAGTTCAGGAAGACTTTCGAGTAGAAAGGCAAGGACTGGCATAGTTGACATAAGTAAGGGTCTGGAGGACAAGGTGTGGTCATGACCCAGGGTCTGCAAAACAAGGTGTGGCCTCTTCATCCCACTTTACTTTCTGCCTATGTTAGTACTCCTTGGCCCCCAACTGAGCTCCAGTTTCTTGTGAACTTGTAGAGAACAGGGATATCTGGTCTGGTTCTTCTGTGTCATCTAGATATGTATTTGTCTCTGTAACTGTTACCCACCCAAACTTGATCTCACCTGATAAGTGCAGGAAAGACCCCACACCCATTCACACTGACATCCTAATGACTATTAATAAGCCCTAGACCACCAGGTTCATTCAAAGATACAGTCAGAGTTGGTGTATTCGGCTGTGTTACATGGAATAAAGTGATAGCTTTTAGAGTCTCAGTGTCCAGATTTATCCTAGAAGGAAAGCAAAACTGAAGCCTCATTGTCATATATGAAAGTTGTTCAGATACTTCCCAAAGAAGCCTTTCAGTGGGAACAAAATAACAAATGTTAAGAAGTCCCTAAGTCCTAAATTAAGTGAGGAGGGTTGGGTACATGTATACTGCCTACTCTTAGGAAGATAATTCTCCAAGGTTTCATGTGCAGAGGTGGGTAGAATGCCAAGCATACGGACTAAGGGCTGTCCCCAGGGAAAGCTGCATGGGTTTTCCTCACCCTCACTGGCTGAAGTTTACACTATGAAAACCCATTGGGCCAGAGGAACAGAAGGCTATTGACCAGTACTTCACATCATATGCTTAGCACACATCAACTGCCCAGCTTTCAAAGAGACTAATGACTTTCTTCCTATCTGGTGCTATTTACCCTAGTGATCCCCCTGCCTCTGCCTCCTTGATATTTGGATTATAAGCCTGAGCTACCAGTCTTGGCTCATAGATTTATGTTGTTGTCTGGGTTTCCATGTAAAAAAGATATCCCTTCCCAGTGAATCCCTAGGATCTCCTGATGACTCACTTTGCTGGCCCTTGTGCTGCCTCACTCAGGGTGTGATCCCCACTTTCCGAGTGAAGTTCCTGCTACGGCTGCTGCGTGGGAGGCTGGAAGTGGACCTAGACAAAGACAAGCTCCTGTTTAAGCACATGTGTTATGAGATGGAGAGGCTACACAATGGTGGTGATGTCACCTTCCATGATGTCTTGAGGTATGCAGCTGGTTTTATAGCCCAATGTCACAGAGATTTTCTGAGGTCAGAAATGAAAGATGTGGCATACAGCAGCCCACAAATTCAGCTGCCAATGATGTTTAAAGCCTTTGCTGCCATAAAGTCATGGTGATAAGGCAAGTAGTCTTCTCACTGCCTCATAATGATCATGTCTGATCACTACCTCACATGAAAAGTATAGGAAGCAGTGGCCTGCTGTCCCAGAAGGAAAGAAAGAGAAGACCCGGAGGGAGTGGTTCTGTGTCTTTGCTTTGGGATGAAGGTGTGATCCTGTAAGAGTTAAGTGACTTGGTCAGGGTCACTTGGTTCCATGACAAATATGGAGCTGAAATCCTTATCTTCTCATTCAAAATGGTCTGGTAAGAATCTGTCCCACCTGCTCCTTCACAACTGCCCCTGCTGCTTAAAACTTTACATTTTCTACATATTTTATGAGCACAAAGGCTCAAACTCAGCTCTACCTTTCAGTATTTCTTAGGAGTCCCTCTGTGTTATCTTGCTAGAGCCAATGTTCTCAAGTCCCAACAACAGAAGTTTATTGCTCATGACTCTAGAAGCAAGAAACCTGAAGTCAAGGGCAGTGTTGGTTCTTTGTGAGACTGTGAAGAAGAATCCATTGCAACTTTCTCCTAGACTTTGAGGGGCTTCTTGCAATTTTTATCTACCAGTGTGATCTACATTGTGATCTCTGCCTTCATCTTCAAAGGCCATATTCTCTCTCTCTCTCTCTCTCTCTCTCTCTCTCTCTCTCTCTCTGTGCGTGTGTGTGCGTGCGTGCGTGCGTGCGTGCGTGTGTGTGTGTGTGTGTCTGCCACATCTTAACTGGGTCTTCGGTGATCTCCACACATAAGGTCACAACCTCAAGCTCTTGACATATATCTTAAAGTATCATTTATGTTCCACAAGTCCTTTCAAGTTACAGTGTCATTTGACCTCAACTGAGTATTATTTAATAAGCTAACATAGAACTTATGCCCCATATCAAAGAAATATAGAACTTATGCCCCATATCAAAGAAACTAGTGGAAAGATCTATTTCAATATAGCTGATTTCCTTCATAATAGCATGTAAAACTTCATTGTAGGACACCTTTCACAAACTTCCCTGTCAGAGGTATCTGTGACACAAAAACTGGCTAGAACATTTGACCGACTGTAGCTATTTTACTCATGTTGCATGTACCTGTCAGGTTCAATGTTGGGTATTGTCACAAATTTGGGGAGTCATTCAAGTAAATAAAACTCTACTTATGCCTAAAAGTAGAAGGTCAGGCCAGCAAAGGAAGGGCTCGGGGAAAGTTCCCTAAAGTTACCAATTTTGCCTCTTGCTGTCATTTTGTCGATGGGTAAGCTAAGGAGCACAGAGAAAGATGGGGCAGGATCATGTGTGAGAAAGAATGCCATCCCCTCAGAATGCTGATCTCTCCTTGTGGTGGCACAGTGTTTTTAGGTTGACCATGAAGCCCCCAGACCTACAGTTGTATTAATACTTAACATTTGGCCTCTCTGGAGCATTGTAGTGCATCTGATTACAAGGGCAAAGCCAATGGTGGTGACGTTGGTCCTCCATGCCCCACAGAAGTTAAGTAATAGTAAAATTGCTGATGAGTCTGGAGGACTTAGAAGCATTTTATGAAACACAATGCACAATTTTCCTCCACAATGGGAGTTCACTTAGCAAAGAAGAGAAAGTCAATGACCCAGTACTCCTGAAGTTACTATGCTATGATTTGGGATCTGGTGGTGGCCTCAAGCTCACAACAGAGGTTGTATGAGAGTCCAAGGTGCTGAAGCTACACTCAAGTGTATAGTACTACAAGATAGGTCTATATTCCCCTTTGGTCAGTCCCTGCTAGGAATTATCTAACTGCCCCTCCGCACAAAAATGTTAGTTTTACTTACCATGGTCTGGACCTGTTGAGCCAAGGTCTAAATGAGAGTTGTGATTAGTCAGCTTTAGCTTTGTGTCTTCTGAAATTAATAAAGAAGACACAGAGTGATAAATGAAATAGACAGGGAAGTGCAGTGGGGCACACACAACTCACAAGCAAGGATATCAACCATCTGTAATTAGAGCTAACCACAAAGAAACAGTGGAAGGAATAATCTTCTTTCTGCAGAGAACATTCTAGAGTATGTACTTGACAGCTAGAGCTGTCAGAGTCTTCTTCAGCATAGGCACTTAGATACATTCACTGTTCGAAGTATCTCATAGATATTAGCTTGCCAGATTATTCAATGAGATAGGTGCCAAGACCATCCTCAGCATTCACACAAGAGAAAGGAGCCACAGAGGTGACACAACCAGCCCCTCATCCAATTACAGATGGCATCAAATGTTACACTGAGTGTCTGGAAAGATGTGTTCTCTGCATTTTGAACACCAGAGGCTCTAAACACCAGAGGACTCTAACCAGTGTCGCTGCTGTTCCTGTATTCTAGCATGCTCTCCTACCGCTCTGTGGACATCAGGAAGAGTCTGCAGCTGGAGGAGCTGCTGGCAAGGGAGCAGCTGGAGTATACAATAGAGGAGGAGGTGGCTAAGCAGACCATTCGCATGTGGCTGAAGAAGTGCTTGAAACGCATCAGGGCTGTGAGTGAACCACGAGCACCAGGGCTGGTGGCTTTCCTTTCCTGTTGCTGTGATAAAGTACTCTGGCAAAAGCAGCTTAAATGAGAAAGGCTTATCCTGGCTCACAGTTCAAGGGTACTGTCCATTATACAGGGGAAGTCAAGATGGTAGGAGTTTAATCACATGACATGTGTTATGTAATCACATCACATCGAGGATCAGGAAATGGAGGGAATGGATATATGCCAGTATTCAGCCCACTATCCACATTTTGTATAGTCTGGGATCCCTTTCTCATAGAAAGGTCCCACTCACAGTTATGGTAAGTCTTCCCACACCAGTAATCAAGATAATCGCCCACAAGCATGCCCAGAAACCCATCTCTCAAACGATTCTGGCTTCCATCCAGTTGACAATTTACACCGACACACACACACACACACACACACACACTCAGAACAAGAAGGGCAAAAGATAAGAATGTCCTCAACAGAACAACCCTCCAACAACTGGCCTGATACCCCTAAAAGTGCACCATCTTCATCCACTCAGGGTGTCTGGTGCTGCTACAGCCTTAACTCCACTCCAGCTTCAGGCTCATTCCCCTCAGCAGGCTCCACCACACATCTCAACTGAATCAAATTTGTATAGCATGAAGGTTTAAAAAGCAATTTATGGATATTAAAATATTTATGATCTCCATTTATTAAACTCAACTGTAGAAAATCCCAAAATATCTACTGGGATAAAATCTGCAAAACTACTTTTAAATTGCTGCAGAAAGTTCCAACATATGGTTTATCATGTTGCCTGGTCTCTGAAGACCATCTCTTATGGAATTTTAATGATGTGCCTGCTGCCTCCTCAACTGTAAGTTTGTATGAGACTCTCACTTGTTAGTGACTGTATACTCCATTAGAATATACTGTGTTTCTAATGAGTACTTCTATTGGGCAATTAATGTTTATGAATGCTTTTGACTTATACTTCACATACAGAGAAGAAAGGCAAAACAGTCAGTAAATGCTTTTTACAATGCAATTAATGTTATGTAAGATTTGTTTGATCCTGTCCTTCAGAACAACACCCACCACAGAAACATGCACTTCTGTTAGAGGAAAATTAACTCTAAGAAAATAAACACTCTAACCCAACCTTCTAGAGCAAGGCCAGCTGCCGACTGCAACCCAATCATAGCAAGGCCACTATAGCTCTGCTGATTATATGGATTACAAATGTCCTGCTCAGACCCTACGAGAGAAGCCATGGCCAGGGAAAAAAAAAGCTACTGCTGAATTGGCCTACCAGGCTGCCCTATAAAGTCCAGAACCAAGACAGAAGTACGAATTTCCTCCTCATCTACTAAAGACTCTCTGGTGCTTACAACTTTCAGGAAAGTGGGGGAAGGAGGCTGGTATTGGTTAAATAAGGATAGAATTAAATAAGAAGGGAAAATAAAACACATTAGTGATTTTAAATGACATATAAACTAGCAGAGATGAGCATAACAAGTCCAATTGTTCTACAAATATAAAAGGTGGGAGATGCCTCTAATCTACAGGGCTCATATGTCAATCTAGCAGTCTCAAAACTAGTTTGAGATTCTTACTTGGAACTTACTAAAAGGGCAGCAAATCCATGGGTCTTCAGAGAGGGTAGAAAACACTGTGATGGGTGGGAGTGGGGCAAAGAAGCCAGGCACCTACCTTTCCTCCTTATGAAAGCACAGCATCTTCCTGCAGAAACAGCAGCAGTCATGCAGCATCATCCACAGCCTGAGGGAGAGCCAGCAGCAAGAGCTGAGTCGATTCCTGAACCCTCCCAGCATCGAGACCACCCAGCCAAGCGAGGACACTAATGCCAACAGCCAGGACCACAATACGCAACCTGAGGTAGGAGATGAGGTACCCTTCATCCAAGGATCTTCTGTGGCAGTTGATTCTGGCCACAGACATTTCAAAGTGATTTTTTTTTTTTTTTTTGGTTTTTCGAGACAGGGTTTCTCTATGTAGCTTTGGAGCCTATCCTGGCACTTGTTCTGGAGACTAGGCTGGCCTCGAACTCACAGAGATTCGCCTGCCTCTGCCTCCCAAGTGCTGGGATTAAAGGCGTGTGCCACCAATTCCCGGCCAAGTGACAGCATTTTTAAGGCGACCTTTCGTTGCAAAAGAACCAAAAATAATGAGAACATGTACATCCAGATATTTTTATCACTTAGAATCCAGTTGAGGGTTTTGCTTTGTTTTTTGTTTTGGTAAAATTGTGATTTGTATGGTGTGTTAGTGAACTTTCTGTTAATAAACAAAATACCTGAGATAATCAACTTAGAAGCAGGGAAGGCTTTCTTGGCTCTCCGTTTGAGATGTTTCAGTCCAGGGGTGGCTGACTCACTATATAGGACTATAGTAAAGTAGTACACCATGATGACAGTGTGTGGGGAAATGTGGTGTCCAGGGAGCATGAGAGAGAGGAAGGGGATGGAACTCCAAATTCCTCAAGGACAGCCCCCACCCCACCCCCATAATAACTCAACTTTCTCCCACTAGGCTTTACATCCTAAACATTTTACCACCTCCCATTAGTATCTTAGGCTGGAGAAACAAACCATCAACTTATAGGCCATTCAAGATCCAAACTACAGAAAACATATACTAAAAGCAGTTAACATCCTGAGTGTTAATTACTTGTTTCTTTTTGTCATAACAGCTAAGCTTGAGCATAGAAATATGTGCTTTAAATGATTATGATTTAAATGAAGCTTTGCCATAAATATTTTCTTCCCCTCAGCACACCATGGAAATTTTCAGTAAAATGAGCAAAATACATGCACTTGGCTTTCAATCTTCTTCAATAATCAAATGCATTTGGAGATTTATCCTTTCTTATTTGGGCAGCAGAGGAGCATATAGAATTAAGAAAAAAATATTTGAGTAGCTTCTGTCTACTAAAACACAGCTAATTTCATTTTCAAAGTTTTTCTACATGTGTATTCAGAAACAAAACAACAACCACAAAAGCCAGAGAGCCTTGTGCTATGAGAAGCAGCTGTCAGGGAGACCCCACACCTTTATGTGGCTGCAATGATTTGATGCTAATCACCTGGAATCCATCCAGCACACTGTGCAGTGCCTCCAGTTTCGATGAGCCCATGATGCTCAGCAACATAGGGACAAATTGGAGCATAAGGCTCCATGGCCCAGAAGAGGCTCCAAATGGACCTGTTATGTTCTGGTACAGTTTTGTGTGAGTTTCATGATTCTCTACAAGAAACCAGGAATCACTCTCCTACTTCTTCACAGACTCTATAGGAGGAGTCAGTGGCCCTGCTGCAGGTCTGACCCAGAGACATCTGGCAATGCTTTATGAGGAGGAGCCAGATCAGGTTGAGACAGACACTTGAGACAGGACCAATAAAGGGGAAGTAATTATTTCAGAGCTCTCACAAAGGTATCCAAAAGTCGAAGTGGGGGTTGGTGTTTAAGGGTTTAAAGTATTGTGAAAAACCAAGACCGTAAGGGGCTGGAGGGGCAGCTGTCATTCCAGATGACCCAAGGACAGTTTGCTATACCCACATCTGACAGCTCAAGAACACCCATCACTCTAGCTCCAAGGCATCCAATGCCCCCTCCTCACCCCTATGGGTACCTGTACATGTATGTCATTCAGTTTTGCAGATACACACACACACAGAGAGAGAGAGAGAGAGAGAGAGAGAGAGAGAGAGAGAGAGGGACGGACAGACAGACAGACAGACAGACAGACAGATAGGTAAAGTAAATCTAACAAAAAGAAGATGACAGTGGTTAGGAAAGAGCAAGGTATCAGGTGAGTTAGAAATGGAGGCAACATGCCTACAAGTCCTCAGCACCAGGTAGTCATCAGTTTGGGCTTCCCCAGGGCCATCAAATTGACAGTGAAGATAACTGTCACATGTAGTCTCTGGTATATTTCAAAACAACCAGAAAAGTCACAGGTTCCAAAAACACAGAAATGGTAGATATTTGAGGAGCCAAAAGTGGGAATTATACTGATTTCATCAGTGTATGTTATAAACATGTGATAATTACCATACTATACCCTATAAAGCTTTACAAATATTTGTGACAAATTAAATTGATTTTTTTAAAGAGAAAGACCCACAACTGACTAACTCTTCTCCCATGTAGACAAGCAGTCAGCAGCAACTCTTGAGCCCTACTCTGTCAGACAGAGGAGGAAGTCGACAGGATGCAGCAGATGCGGGGAAACCCCAAAGGAAGTTTGGGCAATGGCGTCTGCCCTCAGGTAGGTCCATCAGTCATCTCTCTACCTATTAGGGGCACTTAAGAGGCATTTGCTCTCTTTTTAAATTTTGGGTCTTAGATTTTATTTAATATGCTGATCCATATCAGTCCGTCTTCTGTTACCATAACTTACATGGGAGAAAAATCCACTTTAAAAAGAAGAAAGGTTTATTGGCTCCCTCTGTTGGAGGTTTCAGCCCAGAGTCAGTTGGTCTATTGCTATTGGGCCTGTAATGACACTGCATAGCATAGTGGGAATGTATGATGAGGGAGCCTCTCACCTTATCACAACCAGGACAAAGAGTAAGAGGAGAAGATTGGTGTCCCACAGTCTTCTTCCAGGGCATGTCCCCAGTGACCCAAGACCTACTAGGTACCACGTTTTTAAAAGTTCTACCACTTCCCAATAGCATAGGCTGGGACCAACCCTCCAACACCCAGGGCCTTTGGAGACATTTCAGACCCAAACAGGGTGTGTATCTGATTATCATTGACAGTGAAACAATGAAATGTATTCCCTTATCAGAAACATTCTCCTCAAAGTAACTTCTCTAAACATAACTATATCGGCCCTCATTTTCAGCTGCCATCGCTGAGAAGACGGCACCTGTTAACAAAATGAGATGTTACAGCCAAGATCCAGAAAGAGAGGAGGAAGAGGTTTCCAAGGGCTTCCTGGGTACAGTCAAGGCATCTCAAATATGGGCAAAACTTACCCAAGAAGGAATGGGTAGATATGATCTTCAGAAAATGCCATGGAGTTATCAGAAAAGGCTCAGGTCCCACTTCATCCCAATACATGCAGTGTAACTGAGCTTGTCACCACCCTGACATGAGTTTCTTTATCTCAATGACAGCAAGAATGACGACAAATCTCCATGTACTGCTCATCACTGTGTGCCAGTCACCAGTCCTACGGCAGTTCTATTATTTCCCACATTTCACTGATTCAGTAACAGTTTTCTTCCAAAGACATGTGAGGTACTAAAAAGCAAGGAACACTTGGGAACTGGGGAGGAGAAATTCTGCACACACCCCAGTCTCCTCTCCATCAAGATCTAAGCCTGTGGTGAGACATTTTCTCCTTTCACCGTGCTGAGCTTCAGCCCCACCCAAATGAGAATGGGTGACCCTGGGGCATCTTCTGCCACATGTCTGTTCACAAAGCAGATGGCAGTACAGTTTACATTCTGGGTCTTAAAGCCACCGGTAAGGAAGGACCTGATGAGAGGTCAGAGAGGTCTAACTTTTGTCTGGTCTAAGCAAAGCTAGGAATGGCAGGAAGCAAGGTTGAGGAGGCACAGGGGCCACAGTGTGAAAATCTTTAAATGACAGACTGGACAGTTTCAATTTCATACTGTGGGCAAATAGAAGGGAAGAAGTAACATCTGAAACCAACGCTTTTGAGAAAGACTGGTGTGGCAACACAGCCAAGAGTGCGCTTGCCTCTGGCAGTGACTGGCAGTGACCTGGAGGCAGGTGACAGGCTACAGAATATTACAACAGGCTGGACACAAATGATAAGGGCACGGGTCCAACACTACAGGGCAGATATGAGAGATGACCCAAGGAGAATGTCCCTCCTTGGTATTCACTTACATGGGTGACAGAGGAATGCTGTCATGATATCAACAGTAGTGCTTGTCTGTGTAGCCTCACTGTGAGAAATGGTGATAAGCAGAGACAAGCTACTAGGGGCCTACAAAGTATGAGGGGGGGGAGGAAAGTGTAGAGCACACTTTAAGGAGGTGTCATGTATCACACTGTCCACTTTGTCAGGTCATCTCAGAAAACCCATCTTCAGCCTCCCAGCACTACAGTGAGCACATTCGCATTCTCTTAATTTTACAGTGGAGAAAATTTAAGTTCAGAGACATGAACTTGCCGGTGACTTCATATCTACAGATTACACATGGGACACACTTCCTCTTTCCACACCTGCCCTCTACCCATCTCTCTACCCCCCTTTAGAACTACACTGTCACTCTTTGTTTCCCTAATGAGCATCAGCTTAAACATACCACTGTAGAGCTTCTATTTTACACAAATTGGGACTGCTTGTGGTTTCTACATTTTCCTTAAAGTAAAAGGCACCCACAGTATACTTTCCCAAGAGTGTCTATTAACTTCCCATGAGCATAAGTTTATTGGAAAGAATCAAACACAGAAAAGGTTTCTTACTTAACATCTGGAGATAGGAATGGGGAGAGCCAAAAGCAACACTTCTCAGAGTATCATGATTTTCCAGGAATGGCTAAAACACACTGAAACAACAACCAGTTAATAATGGGACTCCTCTTAAATCCACAGCTCCAAAACCACTAAGCCATTCGGTGTCTTCCGTTAACCTACGGTTTGGAGGACGGACAGCTATGAAGTCTGTGGTGTGCAAGATGAACCCCATGCCAGACACAGCTTCCTGTGGCTCTGAAGTTAAGAAGTGGTGGACCAGACAGCTGACTGTGGAGAGTGATGAGAGCGGAGATGACCTTCTGGATATTTAGACAGGAAGCAAGACAAAGGCAGTCACAGGGTGAAAACTGTTGTCTAATAGTTTCCTTCATCATCCAGAGAGCAATGAACTGAATTTCACCTTGATAGGGGATTCTCTCCATTGATTTTTGTCTGTTTGTAGGAATGGGCTACCAAAGCAGCATGTGTTGTGGATTACTGTAATATATTCAAGAAAATTTGGGACTAAGGATACAGGTCAGTAAAAGATCACTTACCCAGTATGTGCAAAGCCCTGTGTTTGAATCACAGAAACACAAGAAAAGGAAGAAAATGTATATAATGGCAGTGTTGCTAATATTAGAGTTGCATCAATAGCAGATTATATCAAACATTTATGTGTTCTGTGTGTGAGAGCTAAGATGTATTCATCTGTAATCTTGTATGCTGTTACTTCCCCTCCCAAAAAGTGCTAAGTCCATATTCACAGTACAGGGGATATAGTCTGATTCATGCTCCCTCCCTCCCCCATTTCCAATAGAAATACTTCCCTTGAAAGAAACTATTTATGAGTGATCTAAAAAAAACGTCAGCAGTGAACTCATGATATTCTTTTTCTCAAGTCATTTTTTTAAAAAAATATGCATGAGGTGTTCAGAAATCAGAGCAACTTCTGTCTTTGAGTACTCTAATGAAAGTGTTTCCTGCTTCCAAGAAAATTGTGTGTGCAGGTCCCATGTAAAGGAATTGGCCCCGATGCTAATTGATGTAAAATAAACCAGTAGGCTGATTACTTCAGGTACATGAGGAGATAAAAATATTTTGAAATCTTGAAAAGTCCTTTGGATTATGGAGTCTAGAAAACAGAAAAAAGTGCCAGACTCAACTTAGTTAAAAGGTTTGCATTTGAGAGGTTATCATGAACTTCATGTTTTATCCTTGATGCAGCCGTTTTGCTATGAGTCAACAGGGCATTCTGAATTGGCTCTGATACACAATTACTATTCTAGATTCAAAATAATTTCCCTGCTACCAGAATTATGTATGGAAATAATAGGAGGGTGGGAAAAAACACCTCACTCTGAACCCATTTTGGGAGTACCACAACTTAATTTATTTTTCCCCCACATCAATGGTCCATGTCCTCAGGGAAAAATTAGAAACACAAAGTCGCTGGGGAACATTAGTGGACCCTAGGATGGACAGGGCCTCCCCTGAGTTGTCACTTTTAATTGCAGATTTGGTGTTCAGATTATTTTAAGAAATTGAGTATGTAAACAATTATCCATCTCCTATGTTGCTTTATGATATCCTTGTCTCCATTTAACATTCTTCAAATAACCAAACATTGCATCCCTTCTATATAAAAGGTGTGACATTATGTGACCATCCATTGCTTACTTGGTTACTTGTGCCTATAAGATAATAGGTAACTCAAGTTAGTGTGGGGGGATTTTTATTTGATTTTATGTTCATTTGGAATTTAAGTTTTGTATATAAAGACAAAATAAATATTGGATTTGTAAAAAAATTAACTGTGACATGGTTTTCCTTTTTAACCCCTTTCCTTGTATGTGTTTGGGATGGAGCACTGTGTAGTTGGCATTTTGCAAACCCTATATGGAATATTTAATCAGTACTTAGTTGGCAAACACTCCATCCTTGGTAATCATTTTAGGTTAATTTCCAGAACTGGAATGTTCCTTTTTAAGGTTGTTCTCATAAGGTTGGGTGAGCATCACATGTCTTTCAAACCCATGGTGAAACAGAGAAGGTAATCATGGCCATAGTCTGGTTGTCACTAATGAAGAAAGAAGGAAATAAACTTTTTTTTTTGGTTCATTACATTGAGTAATAGAGCTTCACTCCCACTAGGCACTGGGCCCTTCCTGTAAAGTCTAGAAGGAATACTTGGGAAAGTATCATCATTACTCATTCTGTGGCGAAGCAAAAACAAAATAGCAATGTATTCAAAGCTACAGCACCCCTAACACTTAGTTAAACTAGCAAATGCCTCCTGGGTAGCTGAAGCATGTGACTTACCTGAAGCAAATGGAGGAAAGTTCAGTTAAAAATAGGTACTACTTCTTATGGGTTTTACCCAATGGACTATGCAGGTTGGGTGATACAGATGGAAAACTAGGGCCACCCATGTTCCCTAGTCCTCGGGGAACCAGTCACAGTGACAAACTTATCATCATACCACCTACTGTCTTTAATTAAGGGAGCTGTCGGGTCCAAGGACACAGGAACTCTTGAGGGGTGCAATACTTTATGCAGAACCCCTGAGAGAGAACAGACCACACAGACATTGTCCATATGGCAACTCAAAGGAGCTCAGCAGGAATAGGATGGGACAGAAAAGCTGTGTGATGACATTCAGATATTCCTGGTGATATTTCTAGAACAATATTTCATGATCAGTAGCTCTCTAATTACACCCAAGATGGTGTATTCCATAAGAGCACATAGAGGGAAAGTGACTATTAAAAAGCCTTGCACACATGTGGTGTCTAAGCCAGACATTCCTGCCTGTATTTCATTGCTGGGTGTGGCTAAATTGGTGGGTTCAATATCTTATGTGTCAGTGGTGGTCTTTCTCACAAAGCTATTCAAAGTATCCTAAAATTTGAATTAAGCTGTGGTGATATATTGTTTATGATCTAATAAAGCCACTGAAGATTAGAATGCAAAGTTAGCCACAGCCATAGAAGCTGGGCAGTGGTGGCACACACCTTTAATCTCAAGACTCAGGAGACAGAGGCAGAAGGATCTCTGTGAGGTCAAGGCCAACCTAGGCTTCACGAGAGTGGATGAGTCTAAAAGAGAAACAGAGCTCGTGCCTTTAATCCCAGCACTGTATAAGGAAGAAGCAAAGGGTCTCTTGTAACATTAAGTCTCCAGCCATGTTGAGGACAGGGGAGATTTAGTTTTCAGTCACAGGGAAGAAAGGGTCTCCGTTTCAGCTTTGGTAGAGGTAAGAGCTAGTGGCCAGCTGCTTTGCTTCTCTGATCTTCAGCTTGAACCCCAGTATCTGTCTCTGGGTTTGTATTATTCGTGCTACAGTAAGGAAAAGGAGCATTTCCCTAGTTGAAGTTGGGGTGATGATAAGGGGTGAAGAAAACCCTTTTCCTACCTACTATTAAAGGCTGGAGTTTCCCACAAAAACAAACAAACAACAAAATAACTGAGGTTGAAATCTGAGCCTTTGGAACCTGTGAATGTGATCTCTTTGGGAAGCACAGTGTTTGCAGAGGCAATTAGTTAGGACCTCATACTTGAGTAAGGCAGCATGTTTTAGTAAGACTGGTCTTCTGGGAATAAGAAACACACAGTGAGCAAAATGCACTGTGAAGACACAGACGTACAGGGAAGGGGGCATGTAAAAATGCAAGAAGAGGCTAGAGGGATGCTGACATTGGCCAAGGAACACTTGAAGCCATGAGAAACTGCAAGAGTAGAGGAAGCTGCTCCTAAATGGGCTTCACGAGGAGCCTAAACTACTACCACCTCGAATTTTCAACTTGTAGACAGCAGAATTTAAGAGAACCAACTACTTTTGTTTGCAGTCACCTAGTTTATAATGTGTTATGATAGTCACCCTAGAACATTAACACACAACCTCCATTCACCCCAGCCCCCCAAGGTTGCTCACATTATCCTAGTGTTCCAAGAAACTCAGTTTTGAAAATACCAGTATAGATCAAAGACTTTTTGTTGTTTTCTTATTCAGCCAGAGTCTTATATAACCCAGGATGACCTTAAAGTTTACATGTAGCTTAGGGTGACTCTGAACTCCTGATCTTCCTGCCTCAGCCTCTTGAATGCTAGAATTGTCAAAGATAGTAAGTCTTGGAGTACCGCTGATCTTTCAAGCCCCACATTTACTCATTTCCCTCTATGGAATCTTTCGTGAATTTCAAACACACTCTAGGCTGCAATTTAGTATCTTACCTTTTAAAAAGGCAGTAGAAGAAATTCCTTCACTTTGTTTACTTAAGGGTTGACAAGTCTATTAGATAGACTTGGTCTGGGCTGACTTGGAGCATCCTCTGAATCCTTAACCAACTAGCTATTCTCCCTTCTAGGATCCTCAGTGGGCCAATAATTAGCCTTTCATTTCCTCAGCGAAGATTACTGTCAGGTTTAGCTACTACCTCAGGTTGACAGTGGATTTGGAGGACCACTGTTTTCTTTCATGAGGCTTAAACCCAAAGAGAGCACTTCTATAAAATGATTCTCTGGCACCACTACTGAAATATAACGTAAAATTATTGTTAAGAGTTCTTTCCCTTATTACTTTGTCCTCTTTTTCATTCACTCTTAGAAAAAAAAGCAGATATTTTTATAAAGGGAAGTGTCCTGAAACCTTAGCATTCAATTTACTGTATGAGCCCTTCAAGTCCTTGCTAGAAAATCCAAGTTGCAAAACCACCTGCATTGATCTGTCCAGGGACGGGAGAAACATTGATGCAGATGACAAGTTGGATGCTGCCTCAGCCTGTGCTAGGCTAGGGTGCAGTTGCAGAAGCCATCTCACCCTTCCCATAGCCTTACTGCTCAGCTGGCCGGGGCTAGGAAATGTTCAGGGTCCTTCTGCCCGGAGAGCCCATGAGACATGGGTTCAGGTTTTGTGCTTACTTTATTCCCAGTTCTTTGTCCAAGCTGGAAAGTGTCCTAGTGAGTGACTTTCCAAGATTCCACATCACGGAGGCTGTGAAGGACGGAAAGGAGAGCATAAAGAACCAAATGGCCATGCTTAGGATGAGCAAGCTGTCCTGCTTGCCCTCACCTTCCCAACACATCTTCACATTTGAACTACACTGAATTCCTTGGAGCGTATGGTAATGTGAGTCATGTGGGGTGGGGGAGTGAGTTAGAGGGTGTGTATTAGAGAAGACAATGTCTCTTTCATAAGCCATGTGAGGACGTAACCATTCCTACCTCACAGTGGAAAACTGCCCCCACACAGATGTTCCCTCCTTGAGATTTTTTTTACGAATCATCTTCCTTCAGAGCACCTCCCTCAAATAGACCTGGCATTTGACATATCCTGGGTGTAAGCTCTTTTTACCCACCCCACTGCAGCCCTGCTGGCTGCCTTTGATTTTCCTCCAATGGCAAGCTACTAATAACTCTGGGGACCTTCTCTTATGTGGATCATCTTTCTCCATATCCTGGTTTAAATATCTCCTCCACCCTTCAACACTCAACTCAATTTCATTGCCAGAGAGAATCATCCTTATCGGCCCATATGTCTTTTTTTTTTTTTTTTTTTTTTTTTTTTTTTTTTTTGAGACAGGGTTTCCCTGTGTAGCTTTGGTGCTTATCCTGGCACTCGCTCTGGAGACCAGGATGGCCTTGAACTCACAGAGATCCGCCTGCCTTTGCCTCCCAAGTGCTGGGATTAAAGGAGTAGGCCACCAACGCCTGGCTGGCCCATATGTCTCTACAGTATTTGCCTATCTTGTGCAATCACTTGTGTGAGTTGTCCTCATTAGTGATTGCCTTCATAGGGCATTGTCTTCATTACTTTGACTGTTATGACAATAAAATACCCTGACAAAGTCAACTTAAGGGAGAAAATGTTTGTTTGAGTCCACAATTTGAAGTTACAGCCAATTGTAGTGGGAAAGTCATGGCAGCAGATCACATTGCCTCTCTGGGAAGTGAGCAGTCCTGCTTTTTCTGGTCCCGACTGTTGCTCCTCCTATGTGAGGCACATGAGTCATCTGGTCACATTGTATCCTTAGTCAAAGGCACAGAACAATGGGTGCTTCAACTTAGCTCTCTTAGCCTAATCAGGATCCCCCCCCAAAAAAACACATGCTCAGAGGCCCATCTCTCATGCTGCTCTAGATTCTGTGAAAGCGGCAAATGAGACTAATTGTCATGGGCACTGAGATACAGCATGTCCAGGCACTATGCTTGTTTTGTCTGTTAGTGCTGGCAAATGTGAGGTACTTGACAAAAATTTGCTGAAAGAATAATTAAATAGATGGGTGAATGAATGTAAGGACAGGTAATCTCATATGTACCACTAACTGACAATCTCTCCAAAATCATAGTAGATGTCCTGACATCGATGTTTGTAGTGATATATTACGATTTAATAAAGCCACTGGAGATCAAAATGCAAAGCCAGCCACATCCATAGAGCCAGGCAATGGTGATACACCTTTAATTCCAGGACTCAGTGAGTCCAAGACTACCCAGCGCTACACAAGAGTGAATCAGTCCAAAAGAGTAACGGAGCTCACGCCTTCAATTCCAGCACTTGGGATCACACACCTTTAATCCCAGAACTAGGGAGGTGGAGACAGGAGTGGTATGGCTGGGCTGAGAGAGGATTATAGGGTGGGAGGAGATAGAAACTGGGAGCATTTGCCTCTGAGGATTCATGAACACATGATCACCCATTTAGGTCTGAGGTAGAAGTAAGAACTAGTGACTGGTTGCTTTACTTTTCTGACCTCCAGGCAAGCTTTATTAAATCATAA